GACGGTTTTTTCTTTTTATTCTTCTGGTTGTTGGTCTGGTTGTTGGAATTATTCATGGCCTTTATCTTCTTTCCTTTCTTGCTCTCCACAACATTCACTTTGGAACTTGATGGTGCCCCCGAATTCAGATCCTTGTCATGGATACGAGTTTCCTCCTCGATCCTAAGGTGCTTCTGAATCTGCTCCAAAGTGAACTCCTCTGACGTATGAAGTAATTTCTTCCTATAGTTGTTCCATGATGGAGGCAACTTCGCAATAATTGCCCCTACCAGAAACGCATCAGGAAGTGTTATCTTCAACGCAGTGAACTTAGAGGCCAAGATTAGGAATTCATGAACTTGATCCAGAATTGAACGCTTATCAGTCATGCTAAATTCAAAGAACTGGAATGTGACAAACTTATCTGCGCCTTGTTTCTCTGATTTGTACTGGTTCTCCAAAGATGTCCAAATTTCAGTAGGGGCCGCCAACTGGGAATACAGATCGTAGAGACGATCAGAGAGTGAATTGAGGATGTATCCTCGGCACATCAGACTGTCCTCACTCCTCTTCTTGCGCTCAGCCTTCAATTCATCAGAGTCAGTGTCTTGTGGTTCTTCTAGCGACACCAAATCAGGATCCAGTATGTACACGATCTTCAAAGCAGTCAACAGAAACTTCATCTTCTCTTGCCAGCGAGTGAAATTGGTTCCATCAAACCGATTGAGTTTGTTGGAATCAGAGGCATACGCCTTCAAAGTGCTCTCCACTCCAGAATCCATTGTCAGGGAAACCGTATGGAAGAGAACGATTGAAGGCGTGATTAGATCACTCTCCTTAGAGTGTTTATTTTCCCCCAGTACTTTGTTGCTGGTAGGATTTAGGCAAACCACCCCCAGGAGTCCCTCCAATCAAAGTCAGAAAGCAGCACCTTTCTTGACTTCTGTGTTTGTGTTTTTGAAGAAGGAAAACAAGGAGAAGAAGAAGAACGTTGGACAGAAATTCGGCTGCAAAAGACTTTTATAGTGAAAACGGCAGTTCCCTTCCGAAGGGTTGCGTCGTTTCACAAAACTCAAAATCAAATAATTATCCGGATTAATTAATTAAAATAATTCCGGTAATTAATTAACCAAAAATTCAAATCCGAACGCGTCGTGCAAACGTGCAAAGTGCTAAGTGCGATTTTATATGTCCAATTAAATAGCCCACACTTTTTCCAAAAGCCCACTAACCACTTTATCCAATAACTAAAGTGGAAAGCAAACTTAAAAACAACTTGCACTTTCTTTCTCCCACCAATGTGGCATTTCCTTTACTCTTTGACTACTTTAACAGTAGCAACGTAAGAAAAATCAAAATATAAAGAACACACAGATTTAATAAGTATTGATTTATTAATCTGACGTGTGTTACATATTCCACGGCATATTTGAGGAGGATACTGATTATATAGAATTTAAATATGTATATATAAGCATTTTTTTTTCAAACGATCAAAATTCTAATCCATTATTAAAAAACAAAAATTGACTCGAAACAGAAAATCACATGTGCATAAGCTCATACACAACCGGGCGGCGCTTCACCCATGAACCTCTACTCACCCACCGAACAACGATACCTCATAATGATTTTGACGTGACGTGACAGATAATCCGATTTCGTATTTTGGGCGCGTCTTAAGTGTAAGATTGTACATATCACAACTAATTGAGCTGAGTAGGGCCTTCCCTTTTCTCGATGGGGATTAAAATCATCAGTAGGAAGAACGGACCACAGCTGCCGAAATTGGAAACGGTAACAACTCCGTTAATTCATCACCCTCAAAACGATTCTCAATTCCTCCAATTGATACCCAAATTATTAATTGCATGGCGTGTGGCACAGTTAAGCAGAGCATAATAATCTATCTATACCCTACAAGATGAACAGCCAGTTAAGTGTTAATTACTCGTTTGTAATTAAATTTAAGTATATGTCGATAAAATCCACCCTATTAATACCCAGCGCTCACAGAGTTGGGAGATTAGGGCTGAGAGTTTAGAATCAAGAGTGAGGGTACTGAGAGTGAGCACCACTGTACCAGTATCAATTAGCAAACACGATGTTTCCTCCGAAATTCGCAGTCATGATTTCGTTGGTAGCCGCGCTCCCATTTTTCCACCTTGGATGCGGTACGTAGCAATGCATAACTTCTTATTCTTCATTTCGACTTTTTTTTAATAAATGGATGCAGTAAAAAAAAGTCGAAATCTCAGCCTTCATTCAAAATCAAACGGGGTTTAGAGAGCCCCTGACAATCGTACATAATGAAATTACACAAAGTAGGGTCAGAACAGGAGATGGAATGATAACCAAGGGGCAGCAAATGCCCACGACTAGCAAGATGATCGGCACACTTGTTTCCTTCTCTAAAAATGTGGGAAACAACAACTTCCCATTGATTATTGAGCAGCTCTTTGAATCTCTGGATAATGGCTGCATGTTGGTGATCTGGTGAGTCCAAGCTACCGAGGAGCTGAACCGCACAGAGAGAATCAAGCTCTACTCTGACACGTCTGGAACCTGTGTCCCATGCCAGCTGCAGCCCCTCTACAGCGCCTCTCAACTCAGCCCGGGTGATAGAGCAGCTCCCCAGGTTAATCGCATACGCTGCAAGGCAACGTTCCGTGTGATCTCGAATCAGCCCACCGACAGCTGCATGGCCTGAGTTAGTGTGAACTGAGCCGTCAGAGTTGAGAGCAATCCACTCGGGAGGTGGCGGCTTTCAAGAGATCTCCACCTCCGTTCTCATGGGCAGACTAGGCTGGTGGATTAACCTGTCTTTGTCCAAGGCATTCCGCACGACATTTATCCATGCCCGGACGCGCTGTATAAAGGCTGCAGTGGTCGTGATCTTGCCTGCAAAGACTCGATCGTTTCTGGTCCACCACAGGGACCAGCAGATAATGCCGAACTCGAGGCTAGTGAGCTCCTGCCGAACATGGTATAGAATCAATCCTGCAAATGTGGTCTGAAAAACCGCTGGTGGTCAGAAGGCTGAATGAACTGCATCCAAGTTAACCTGGAAAACGCGCAGTCTCGCAACACATGCAAGAGTGTTTCAGGGGCCGTTTTGCACTGGGGGCAGATGTTCGTGTTGGATAGGTGTCTCCTGTGTCGTTCGGCGTTGGTGAGGACTCTTTACACCAGGCGTTAAATCTGAAGGATCTAGGCTACATATCATACTTTCTTGGACTTGAAGTGAACAGATCAAAACATGGAGTGTTTGTCTCTCAGAAGAAGTATATCTCGGACTTATTAGAATCAACTCAGTTCAATGACTGCAAGCCATGCTCTACTCCGATGGAACATAATTTGAAGCTCACCCGGGAAAGTGGAGATCTTCTTGAAGATCAATCATTCTACAGAAGTGTGGTAGGCAGCCTTATATATCTCACGCATACCCGACTAGATATCTCTTATGCAGTACAGGTGGTGAGTCAGTTTGTGGGGGTGGCCAGAACAGCTCATCTTGACGCAGTAAATCGTCTCCTGCGTTACCTGCAGAACACTAGAGAGGTTGTTATATTTTCCCCTTCAAGTGGCGAACCAACTATAGAAGCATTTGCAGATGCAGATTATGCAGGTTGTATTGATACGAGAAGATCTACATCACGCTGGTGCATACGATTTGGAAAATCCTTTGTGTCTTGGAGATGTCGGAAGCAGGACAAGGTGTCAAAATCATCAACAGAAGCTGAATATAGTTCCATGTCAGAAGTATGTTCTGAAATGGTCTGGTTGGAACGTCTCTTTCGAGACTTAGGGGTCGAGTGCAATATACCTATGGTGATTAATGGCGACAATACCAGTGCAATGCAGATTGCTCTCAATCCAGTTCTCCATGTAGAACAAAGCACATAGAAGTGCATGTGCATTATATACGTAAGCTCGTGGCAGAAGGAGTGGTTCGGCTGCAGTACTTACATACAGAAGATCAGACAACAGATATCTTAACTAAGGCAGTGGCGTCAAATCGACATTGGTATCTATCTTGCAAATTGATGTTGAGAACTCGACATCAATTTGAGGGAGGGTGTTAATTATATGGACCATATTGTAATTAGTCACTCATTGTATAGCTAGGGCAGCCGAACTCTAGCATATATACAGTGGCCGAATTGTACAGAAGGGGATTAAGAAATACGAAAATAGTAAAACCTAAGAGGGAGATACTCTCCGTGGACTAGTGTCACAGAGTCATAGACGATACCACGTTAAAAAAGGTCTTCGTGTTCTTTACGTTTACGCCTGAGATTAGGATTTTGATAATTATTCAGCGGATCCAGAACACAGAAGAGCACTGGGCCGCATTTCATTAGAAAATTAGAACCGTAAAAAAATATAATGATTATAGTTTTTTGCAATGTAAATTGTACACGACTGTATTTTAATTTATGGAATGCATCAATAATGAAGTCTATATACATACCAATAGTATACACTGTTTCAAATAAAATACTTGAGCAATCGGCGAGAAATTCATCGCTCATTTTGTTTAGCAAATCAGTTCTCACATGTTTCATTGTTAAAAAGGTTCTCTTCGTAGTAGCTGTGTTGAAATGAGCAGCATCAACACTAGATAAATCAATCGACTAATCAATTTGCATTGTGTGTCCATCCCTGCACACCAGCTACTTTAGTAAATTTGTAAGGGAACAAACCTCATATTTCTTTTAGTCTTTTACGTTTTAAACTTTTTAGAATTTTAGGTTTCATTGTTTTTTTAAGACGCATGATCTTTGGGGCTAAAATTTCTAAGCTAAATTTAGAATAGTTATTTGAATATGTTCAACTTGATAATTTTTCTAGTTAAACCCAATCTTATCATAGAATAACACTGGGTCGAATGTCTAAAATAAATGTCTAAAATAAAAAATTTCATAAGAACTATAGTAATTACGGATCCAGATGAGGACTGGGCCGGGGCCTGGAGTGGCCACCCGTGAATCCGCCAGTGTAATTATTAGACAGGTAATTCATACATTAAGATTCGTTAACTTAATTTTTGGATCTACCCCGACTCGATTACAAGGAGAAGGGCCGTGAGCACACTGGACTCTACATTCAATGAAACATGCTTCATCCTTGTCTTCACAGCATCTTATACAATCCTTCAAGCATTTCTCTAGTGCCGGATCTGCACTGGCATTTTGAAGCTCCCCAAACATGGCCACTAGCATCATAAGAGCCATCGCCATCGCCATCGCCATCACCAGTATCTTGCTTGAGCGCTCCCCTCCGGCCATAGTTTTCTTTTTGATTTGTCTCAATTTTTGGTGACTATTATGTTATCTCAATCACTGGGGGTGTGGGTTGTGGACTTTCTGTGTTCATCTCAATTTCTTCATTTTATAAGTGTGAGAAGTTTTGAAGATTCGCAAAATCTCGATGAATTTGAGAAATTATCAAAAAATAATTACGCGTTTTGCCTGAAAAGAAAGGATAAATAACCTCTATTTTTTATACCACTAGATTCCCTGCACTCGACGATTTTTTCCCCTTTCGTTTTACCTACTATGAGGAGAGAAAAGATTAATGTTTCAAACAGAAAAAGAAAGGTTAATTGATATTCCAGCTTTTCTTGCTATAATGTCCCCTTTTCATTCGATTGTGGTGAGCATTTAATTCTATTTTATCTTATTATGATTTATGATCACAAGAAAAAAAATCCACTAAAATTGTTGATGAATTGTAATGCAGAGCATTTCACATGATAATAGGTTGAACACGCCGACCCAACTCATTAATTTAAATATTTATAGTATTTTGTATTTGTACTCTTTCAGTTTTTATGTACCAAATTTGTTCAATTATCATTAATTTGAATATCTTATTCTCGGTCACTCTTCTTCTTCCTTCTTATTAGTAGGGGTGTGCAATGGTCCGGTCCGTACCAGACCACACAGGACCAAACCGTTGTTAAGACTGGACCAGACCAGACCGAGAAAAATGCGGTCCGATCCTTGGTCCTCATGAATTTTATAATTACTGAAGAAATGGTGGACCGAGTTCATATTTGGACCGGACCGAACCGGACCAAATGGAAGAATGGTCCGGTCCTTGGTCCTAACATGTCTTTCACTAATGGACCGCGGTCCTCATGAGTTTGGTCCGGTTCAGACCGAACCGAACCGTTGCACACCCCTACTTATTAGGAGACAAAGGACCATTTTGTAAATGATAAATAGTTCATGAATAGTTTAGTATAGATTAAATGTAATTATGATAGATTAGGTATCTAAATGTAATTTAATCAGTTAGTTATGTACATGACGGCTTTTTCCTCCGTTGTTCTTTCTTCCAAACCTCTGTTAACAAGAGTATAAAACCAACTTCTCTAGCTGGATCTTGTACATTTTTTCTCATTCATTCAGTAATAAAGAAGTTCATTAAGAAAACTAACATGATATCAGAGCTCTATTGAGCCGATTTTCGTCTCTCATTCTTGCTTCTGCATCTCTCATCTTCTTGATCTTGACATCGTTCTCCTATCGCGATAAATGTAATTATCTCTCCTCTTAACCTCTCTCAATTCTTCTAATCTCAACCTCAACCTTGTTTGGTTCCCTATTTCTCTTTTTTCATATACATTACTTATCAAATTGTCCACCCACACCACCACCTCATCATCACATGTTACAAATATTTCCCATCCTTTTGGGATATCCTCCATGAGTGGACTTCCTTCGTGTACATGAAAATCGACCCCTCGAACTTACTGAAACTAAGTGTTGCAGCTGAAGAAGAACTGATTCTCTCAACGGCTAGCCACCTTCTTCCTATTTAAAGCGTTGTCCTTAGGCTCAGTTCTCTAACTTTGTTAGTGGAAGTGGGAAAATCCTTGGTTTTTACAAAGGTTATTGATGAGTTTAGAGGGAGAGGTTGTGAATAGCCATGGTTATAACAGATCGGATTGTGATATGGGCTCAAAGGGTTTATGTGCTACAATAGCTTTCTTCTCTAATTTTGTTTATCTTCTTTTGCTCGATCGGAAGATAATTAATAAAAAAATAATCTCTCGGAAGGTAGCAGGTGCTATCTCCGGAACGAGAAGTGACCCGTAGATAGGGAACCTCAACCTCGTTAAAATTATCGGTGCCATCTTTACTTTTTCAAGCTCTCTGTTTTTTTAATTCCTAGCTTCTGTTCCAGTTCTGCTTCCCGACTATTGTTCTGCTTCCTTGGCTTCAGCAAAAGGAAGAAGAAGATAAGTTTTGTCTTGGACCAGACTATTTTCTTTTTGGGGCTTATTTTCATTATTGAAGCTTATTTGGTTTTTCTTCTTTAAGTTGGTTTTCTTTTGTGCCTTCAGTGTTTCAGCCCACTTACATTGTGAGTCGTCTAAACTAGGAAGAAAATTATTTTGCGGTTTCTTCTTCGTTCCTTCTGCTTTCTCACGATCAGTCAAAATTGCTAAAGTCATTTTCTGGGATTAGATAGCGTCACAACCCCTAGAGAGGTTGTGATTTTCGCTTCCCCATTCCCAGTCCTAGATCCCCCTTCCTCTTGACGGTGGAAGGAAAGATGACAGTGCTCGAATGTGCCCAGAAAAACAAAAATCTAAGGTCGAGATCATGAGATAGGGTAAATCAGACGGTACTCTGCTTGGATGCCGCGTTCGGATCCTACTGAACCCCCTTAAGTATACCCCCCCTTTAAATATTCTAATAATAATAATCTAATGAATGAGGGAAATCTCTATATTAAGGAAAGCAAATCTAGATACTCAAATCACTATTCGCTCTTCAAGGAAAGCAAAATTATGTTCAAGTTTAGATTAAAAAAAAATTATGTTTAAGTTAAAACCAAGGGAATGCTAATCTCTTGTTTGTAAAAATGAAAATAATAACAATTCAGACATATATATTAGGAATATTATTAATAGACGGGTAGGGTGATTCATACATTAATATTCGTGAACTGAATTTTGGGATCTACCCGGACTCGATTACAGGGAGAAGGGCCGTGAGCACACTTGACTCTACATTCGTAGAAGCATATGTCATTCTGGTCTTGACAGCATCTTATGCAATCTTTCAAGCATTTCTCTAGTGCCGGATCTGCACTAGCATATTGAAGCTTCCCAAAGATTGCCACTAGTATCATAAGAGTCATCGCCATCACTAGTACCTTGCTTGAACGCTCCCTTCCGGCCATAGTTTTCTTCTTGATTTGTCTCAAGTTTTGGTGACTATTGTCTCGATCAATGGGTTGGTTGTGGATTGTGAGTTTTCTGTGTACATCACAACTTCTTCGGTTTTATAGGTGTGTAAAGAAAGGATAAATAACCTATATTTTTTATACGACTAGGTTCCTTGCACTTGACGAATTTTTTTTCTTCTTTAGTTTTACCTACTATGAAGAGAGAAAAGATTAATGATTCAAACTGAAGAAGAAGAAAAAAAAAAGATTAATTGATATTCCAGCTTTTCTTACTATAATGTCCTTTTTCATTCGAGACATCCTACATTCGCTTCCTTGGGATCGGTTAGCATGCTAACCCTTCTAAGGGGTTGTAAAAATGACACACCTATTAATTATAGTTATTTTTTGTATTAAATTCGCGTTGCATTTAATAATTTTTGAAAATTAAAAACTCATCTTGGTTACATTCTTTTTTTTAACTACCATTGCATTGATACAACTACCGCTGCACATGTATACTGAACTCATATTAATTACGTTCCTTTTTTGGAACTACCATTGCACTGATACATCTACCATTGCACCTGTACACTAATATCATTGCCCTGATACAACTACCAGTGCACTGAAAAAAGGAAAGTAATTAATATGTGTTTTTAATTCATACAGATTATTAAATGCAACACAAATTAATTACCTTAAAAACCTATAATTAATAGGGGTATCATTTTTCAAACCTTTTTATGGGTAGGCATGCTATCTCATCCCCGCTTCATTGGCTTCAGCAAAAGGAAGAAGACGAGAAGATTTGTCTTGTTTAAGCTGGTTTTCCTTTGGGCCTTCCGCATTTAGCCCACTTACATTGGGAGTCGTCTAAACAAGAAATATATAATTATTATTATGCAGTTTTTGCTGTGAATAGGCCAAACACGGTGTTCCTTTCTTAGATCAGGGCATTTGGAAGTGGTTGTGGACCAAGGCGCTACCGTCTAAATTGCTTTTCTTCATGTGGCAATGTTTACTTCGGATTCTACTGACCCAGGAAGATTTAGCGGCTCGTGGGGTGGATTTGATTCCAATCTGGCCAGTGTGTGGAAGGAAGGAAGAAACCATCGAGCATATGTTCTTCACTTGTGTGGTGGCCAAGAAACTGTGGAGGCTGGATGGTTTGGGACAGAAATTGGCTGGTTGGGAGAAGTGCTCTTTTGTTGGGTTCGTTCGTAATTATCTTCGACCTGCAGACGGGGTGGATTCCGATTTTTTCATTATGCAGGTTGTCTGTCTTCTTTGGCGACTATGGAAGAATCGATGTAAGGCCCATTTTGAGCATCACCAAGTTCTTCTACCTATTTTGGCGGCTCAATGGCATCATCAAGTCAAAGAGGCGGACATGGCAATTCTTCAGCCTCGTTGATCATCTCCGACGCCAGCATATTTACCCCCTCCTGCAGGTTCCCGTGTTCGCTGTCATGCTATGTTTAATGCGGCAACTAAGTCCGATTCTACAGGGGTTGCAGCCTATGTTTTGATGGATGATTCTGGTGATTTATGTATGGCTACGGCCCAACAATATGTCGGCATTGGGGATCCCTACGTGCTTGAAACTTTGGCTTTATGTGATTGCTTGAATGAATGCTTGAGTCGCCAACTCCGGAATGTGATCATTGGAGGGGTGCTAAAGTAGTAATTGACAAGTGCTGTAACAAAGACACTTCGGAAGCCAGGATCGGGGCTCTTCTTCAAGAAATTATGCTGCTTCTTGCTGATCTTGGTGATGCTAGGGTGGTGTTCGTTGGTCGCAATAGGAACAGGGTGGCTCATTCTGTGGCCCATCGTGCTCTGTCTGTGTCGCCCCGCTATCAAAGGGGGTTCGACTATGTTTCGTGGTTCAATAGTAGATAGGTTTATTGTAATCTTGGATCGGTTCAGTTTCCTCTTTTTAAGAGTGATCGATTGGCAAAAAAAAATATTATTATTATGCAGTTTTTTCTTCATTTCTTTATGCTTTCTTAGGATCAGTCAAAATTCTAAAGTTTTCTTTTCCTAACTCGATTTTAATTGGTATTAGAGCATTCTGGGTCAAGATAGGATCACTTATTCAAGTGAATATTGTTTTGAAAAATACAACTAATTTGATTTATCTGTGTAAAAAAATTTTAATTATGAATTAAAACGAGAGAGAAATCGTTCGTTAAAGATGTGTAATAGATTAAAGACTTTCAATAAGCGAGAGAGGGTGCTGATGTGGCAGTGATATATACAATCATAGTTACTCACCACAAAATAAGAAAATAACTGATCGGATCTGCTCCCTCGCCATAATTGAGTCTGAGCGTGACATTAATTTGATCATATCATTTGTACTTCTAGAACTTTGGCTCCCTATTTTGTGCTTTGAGAGAGAGAGAGAGAGCATGGCATTGATAAGTAGATTTTTGGGTTTGGGCCTTTTGGTATTTTCGGTTTGGGCTAGGGTGTTTTTCCTTTTGGGTCAAGTTTTGCTTTTGTGTTTGGGGAAGGGGTAGGACTAGGTTACGTATTAGGCTTTCGTGATTCTATAAATATGTAACTTGGCCATTAGTTCCGTATCGAATAATAAAATTAAGGTTTATCGACACCAACGTAGTTCTCTCGCTTGTGAGTTACAAGCAAAATCCTAGAACAGAGGGCATATATTCATCAGGCATATGGGGCGATAACGTGTGGAAGGGTTGGGGTAATTTCTTTCATGTATTACGACTCATGGCTATATTATCAGTGCTTCATTACAATATTTTGATCGATTTTTAAAATCACGGATTAGTTATAACGGTATTTAAATTATCATATTGGAAGGAGATTGGTTAATCGAATTAAGATTTAAGTCAATTTAACCTGAGAGGTTAGTGTAACTAATTTGAGTTAGAAATATTAATTGGGGATTAACAAGATTGGCGGCCACTTGGTGGCTTGTGGAGGAAAGGGGAGAAGAGAATTATCTAGAGAAGGGGAGTGCAGATTTTTAGCACTCTCACCCTCCTCTTCCCCTATCTCTCTCATTCCTCCTCTTCTCAGCCTCTTTCTCAACACCGTCATCCCCAAAAACAAGAACAAATCATCTCATGGAGAAATCAAAACTGAGAAATTTGGAAGGGAAGAAGAAGAGATGAGAGAAAGGAATATTTTTTTTTTAGAACTTTATTGCATGATCAAATGAAAACTAAACGTAGAAAATCATTGAACTCTTATGTACTTAGTAGGCCTTAGCAACCTGCTCTCGTTAGCGACCGAATCCTAGTTCCTAGTAAGGAACATAAAAGACCAAGTCTAGCCAAAGATTTCATAAGAGCTCGATGCACGAATGCTTTTTCATAAAAGACCAAGTCTAGCCAAAGGTAAGTTAATTAGCAAAATGCACGAATGCTTTTTCATACCAGGCTATATCATCATAACAAACAACTCCGGTAAGCAACTTTACAATTTGATGACCAGGGTCTAGTTCTAGACCAAGATGTAAAATGAACAACAAAATCGAATGTGATATAGAGATGCAATAGGGATTAGTATTTTTGAACCAAAACAGTACAGAGAGGATTGCATTGTGCACACATCTGTTTTCAGGTAATTATGATTCGTGCTTTGGCTGAAATCCTCTCGAAGCCATTCAACGCTGTCAGAATCAACATCTTCTCAGCAGCTGATAGTTCCGGTGACAACTGGATTTCCATCTTAGCAAGTACCGGCGAAGAGTTCAGCAACCATCTAATGTAGTTCATTTCAGGTTTTGCACCATCCACCCTCTTCACTTCCACCCTCTTGAGCTGACCCATTCGATATCCGAACGCACGAACGATCATGTCCCGGAATCGGCCATTATCTAGTTCACTGCTAGGTCCCAATGCCGCTGAAGTTGAGGTATCAGACATCTGCTTCAGCTTCTTCTTCGTCTTCATCATCAACAGAACATCAAGATTCAAATTCACCATTTTAATATTCACAACATCATTGTAGCTTGGTAATGAATAGAAGGAGAAAGTAAGGTTGGTGATAGAAAGGTACCGAAATCGTCAGGCGTTGCAAATTAGGTGCTTTCATAATCATGTAAAGAGCAGACCACATACAGATCCGTCCGCTAAACCAGAGTTCATCCAAGGTCATATGCGTTACCATCTCCAACGGGCTGAGATCAATTGCTTGGTTACCTCTCGCTAGGTACTGAAACAGTAATATTATGCAAATAATTATGATGCCAGGGGTTGGCCCAACATTATTATGGAGAACTGCAGATGATAATGCTTACCGCTGCTTGGATTCTAACCTTATGATTAACAACACCTTCTAAAAAGCGTCAACAGGAAATAAGTAGTGGCATTACCTGGTAGAAGTGACCGGACACAGAAAGCGACTCCACAGCAGCAAGGCCACCCCATATTTGCAACACCTTTGAGGGGCCGTCTTTCTTGTGCTCAGTGGGAGGAAATTGTTTGTTGAGGATAGCGGTTTTGAGAAGTGGAGTATGCTTCAGATGAAGAGAGCTGAACTTCCCAACAAAGCGGAAATTGCTGAGTTTGGGAGCTTCTATCACAATGTCGGGCTCTTCGAAAAGACCACCACAATCATCCAAGGTCAAAGCTGAAAGTAGCGGGCATTTAAAGCTCCAAGGAGTAGAAGAGTACCCATCACTGAAGATCACATTTCTAAGCTCAAGGACAGTAAGCATCCTGAAACCATCAAATGAAACAGGGGAGGTTTTGATTTCGCAGCAGCACAAGCGCAAAGTTTTCAGTCGTGAAAATGATGAGAACACACGCCTTGGAAGCTGGTAGCACTCAATCTTATAGGATGGGAAGCAAGGAAACCTGTACTGACTTTCCAACGTGATGGTTAAACCATCGATTTGTTTTTCTTGAAGAAACACCAAGATCCTTTCTATGTGATCAGGAAAGCTCCTCAGCAGAGGAAGCGAGAGTGAAAACTCCCGCAGTGGCCCACGGTGAAGGAACAGAACTGTGCAGAGATTCAGCATTAGTTTGCCGATCGCTGCATCTTGATGTTGGCAAACTCTTACCATTGGACAAAAGCTTCGATCAAAGACCAGACATGGAATATTGGCCCACAAGTTCCTCCATTTAGTTGATAGGAGACTCGCCTTGGCTGCATCCCGTAGTGGTAACAACATCAGAATCTCCTCTCTGACATTGTCTGGCAAGCTACTGATTCTATCCACCCCAGTTTCCATTCTCTTTGCCATCCAAAGGAAACCAGAATCCCCTTGAACTGGGATTAACTAAATGGGTTTCGTTCCGACTATACACTCCACGACAGCATTACTAAATCATTCCTGCAAAAAGAGTAGCATCTCATATCCATTAGCGGTATATAGAAGTTATAAGATTATGAGAAGCAAGAATAGAGTCTGTAGACCTGCAAGCTTTTGGGTACTTCGACGGCTACATGTTGCAGCCTTACAGGACTACCAGGACAGAACATTTAAATTCAGTACCATCCATCTCAGAGGGGAAAAAGCTTCTTTAGCCTAGCTTAATTACAGAGGAATCGAGCATAAGCTATGAAAGGAAAAATCAAGAAAATGCTTGAGTTCAACCTGCTCACAGTTCACTACTGAATTTGATCGAGGGTTTGAGTTCGTTGGGTGAAAAATTGACATGGCGATTTTTTTTTTCTACATTAATTTCATACAAACAACAACTGTCGATCTCTCTGAGTACGCTTCACTATTAGGGTTTTGAGGATTCAAAATCAAAACAGAATGATCATAGTGAACGGAAGAACCCAGAATGAGATTGGAGGTAGGCCTTATACCTGTAGCGAGGTGAAACCTCTTGAAAGCGGATCTTGGAGCTAATTCAAACTTCTTGGATCTTGTATATCAAGAAGGCCCAAACATCGGAGAACTTCCCGGTGGAGCTGACAAAAGGAGGAACAGGAGGAGAAAGAAGACGATTCTTCAGAAAAGTCTCTCCGTGAGCTGAGGGGGATGGAGATGGCGCAGACTTCTGCTTATCCGTTCGACGCTTGCTCTCTTCTCAGGCGAATCAATGCGGTCGGCGGGCAAAAGATAGAGAAAATTGTGTAACTGGCCGACGGTCGGAACGTTTTTAGAACTCACTGTCACTGGACTCCTGGAGAGGAGAGGAGCAGTGTAACGTTTTCCTTTTTAATTTATATATATATATAGTTGTTTTGTTTATCTCTCGCTCTCTTTTTTGAATAACGGGAACCGTTGCGACGTATCACTGTACAAAAGGTACATAGGATATAGTCACCATTTTTCAGCAAAATATGAGAAATACGAATGATCAAATGTCGCCTAATTTAGAGAACAAAATAACAAGGTTTGCTTGATGATGCCCATGGTTTTTGTAATACAAGTGATAATTGAAAGAAAAAAAAATCTCGTACTTGTTATTTATTTTAGGGTTAATAGCATTTTGTACTTTTCTATTTTGGCAAATTAACAAACGTATCATTTTACTAAATTTTTGCACAAACATATCGTTCTAATATTTAATGGTAACAAGTTACCCTTCCATCTAATTATCCGTTAAGTGACCGTTAAATGGGTTAGAAAATGACCCAATTGCCCTCTTTACTCTTAATTTCAGTTTTAATTATTTTATTATTTGACCCTCTTTACTCTTAATTTCAGTTTTAATTATTTTATCATCTATGTTCATCATGATCAATTAATTAGAAAAAATAAAAAAAACCCTAAACAAATTTAGAATCACCCGAGAGAGTCAGAGATCATCCGTCTCCCTGAAGCCTTCTCAAGAACTTGCTCTTGCGTCTGCTCACCGACGGCACCTACTCCCGCAACTCCTCATGATACACGTTTGTAACGTTTTTATATCAAAATAAAAGATAGATCTCAAATAAGGTTGTTAAACGGTTATCAAGTTAATTGTGTAAACAATAACCCATCAAATAGTAAACGCTCAATTACCAATAGCCAAATTTAGCTAATTAGTTACCGATAGTTAAAAGATTAATCGACTAACAGATTACAGTCATCTTACAGTTAGGGTAAAAAATAATAGGCTTCGATGATCCGCAGACATATATTTCAAGATCTACAAGATCGCTTGCCTCCGCTATTTGTAATAAAGACTTAGATTCAAATGAGAATAATTTCTATTAAGGACTCTAGAAGGAGCTAAGTAGAAAGATGGAATTTGGTGGGGTTTATCAGCTGAGTAATTCTTAAACCCCACAGCCTGGGCCAATTCGATATTCAATCACGCATCAGAGTGTTCTAAATCCCCAGTTCTTCGTCAAGCTAGAGTGTCTTTGTTTGATCACAACTTTTGTTGTGGCAGAGGGTCTTCCAAATTCGTTCAGCTCCGCCAGAATCGATTCCTTATCGTCCGCTGATAGCCCCGCCGACGAAAGCTCGATTTCCATCGTCTCGAGCGCCGGCGAGGAGCTCAACAGCCATCTCACAAAAACCATCTCGTGCTTTGTACCATGGAAGCTCTTCACTTCCGCCGTTTTAAGCGGATGAACCTTTGGTTCGCCGTTAAGTAGTCTCCCTAGTTGTGCTGACTTTATGCTATCGTGAATCAGCCTCCTCTTGAGCTCCATCTTCATCATCAATCAACCACACAAACCAGATCCAACTCACACGTCATTAATTGTTGCAGCTTTGTATACAGAATGATGGACAAAATAAACAGAACAAACATTTGGAGCGTCGAGTGGGCTGCTAACACGTACCGAGATTGAAAGTCGTCGAAGATTTGGTGATTTCGTGATCAAGCAAAGAGCAGACCAGACGTCGCTGCGTCTGCTCAGGCAAACTCCATCCAATGTCAACTGAGTTAGCATCTCCAGCTGCCGGCCAAGACTTATGGTCTCTTTGTTACCTCCCGCCAAGTACTGCGACACAATAACAATATTCCCACGAAACCTTTTAAATTATAATCAAACAAACATCGTACTTGTAAACATGGATGACAATCAAACTCGTAACTGTTGATAACCGATGGCATGCATCACGATTAGGTTAACATGAAAAATTCTCGCATTAATCAAATATAGGATGAGTTTAGGTATAACTCACAAAAAGGTATGATTTTTTTTTTTTTGACAGTCACAAAAAGGTATGATGGGGAATGAGACGGGTTTTTGGTTTTAATTAGCCTCCCCACACCCACCCGACCACCAAGATTATTTCTTGGTATGTTAAAAATATACAGATTATATATTGTAACTTCTCAATGATATGATGAGTAATTAGAAGGAAAAAAAGAGCTAAATTGTAATTGAGTGGACACTCAAAATCAAATCAAATTCTAATTTATTTTCCTTAATTCTCTCTTTATTTTTTCACTTCTTTACTCTTTGTTAACAAGATAATGTTAGTTGTTTATTACTCGTAGATTTTGTTGGATTGAGAGATTAATTAATGATATGGACATTATTGTACTTTATCTTATAATTTAATAAGTATTTTATTATCAGATGCTTTGAATTCGTATTCTGAATATTTCAATATTTTTAATAAATGTAAAATAAGTTTTTATTTTTTGTGTTTAGGTACTTACTTAAGATATTTCAACCTGAAACCTGCAGCCTGCAGGTAGGAGTGGCTATTTGGTCCAGGTTTTTTTGGTTTTACTCAAAATCGGACCATATAACTCGGACGAGACAAGACCGAGACCGAACCAGAATCTGATAGCAAACAATCTAATACCGTCTTCGAGCTTAGATATGAAGTAAAAAAACCTTTCGGGACTGGACCAAAAATCGGATAAAGACCGGATAAGAGAGCCCAACAGCCAAAATCTAACCAACTCCCACACCCTTTCAACCCTCAGGCCACTCAAATTCCCACAAGATCAATCTAAAATCAAGACCAGACTGGGTCAAGAACATACTGAATCAAGACCGGAATGTATCCAATGTGATCTTTGATCCTCATATTCAAGAAAAAACCGGATCGAGACCGAATCAATTCAAACCAGTTTAACCGGACTGAACCATATAGACATAGGTCCTTTCGTTGATTTCATAATTAATTACCCTCCTCATATTCAACAAAAAAAAGTAATGGCGTACGTAGTTACCCGATAAAGATCACCGGACGCATAGAGCGACTCCACCGCCGCAAGGCCGTCCCACAGCTTTGACGGATCCTCCTCCACCTCCTTCTCATCTCCATCGGAAAAGAATTGCTTACGGAGGATCGCAGTTCTGAGAACTGGAGTATCCTTCAGATGGAGAGAGCTGAACTTCCCATCAAGCTCAAAACGACCGAGTTTCGTCGCTTCGATCACAAAATCAGGCTCCTCGAAAACCTTCCCACCACAATCAACCAATGTCAAAGATGAAAGCAACGGACACCTAAATCTCCACGCAGAAGAAGAAGAAGACTCCTCCTTCACGAACACCACGTTCCTCAGCTCGAGAACGTGAAGCACGCCGAAACCCTCGAAACAAGGAGACGACCACACGACGTCGCAGCAGCTCAGCCGCAGGGTCTTGAGCCGCGACGAGAAGAACGTGGAGAACAGACGCTTCGGCAGCAGGTAGCGATCTTCTTCGCCCTCCGTCGTCGTCGTGGTACCATGTTGTTGTTGCCCTAACGTGACGGTCAAGCTATCGACCGTGCCTTCTTTCTCAAGGAACATGAGGATCGATTCGACTAGATTCGGGTGGCTCCTCGGCGCGGGGAGCTGCGAGAGCGTGAGCTCACGCAGCGGCCCGTGGTGGAGCAGGAGGACGGTGCAGAGTTTGGACATGAGCTGTGATGCTTTCCGGGTGTTGATTGGAAGGAAGGTTTCGTCGAAGACGAGCGACGGCATTTTGGCCCACAGGTGCCGCCATTTGGTTGAGAGGACGCTGGCCTTGGCCGCGTCGCGGAGTGGTAACTTGGTCAGGATGTGCTTTCTGATGTCGTCCGGCAGGGTGCTGATTCTGTCTGCGCAAGGAGAATGTCTCTTCTTGTTCTTTGAAGCGCGTCCCATTCTGGGTTCGTAGAAAGTTAAAAACGAATATTTTACTTCGTCTATAAACTTGATAGTCTCATAGTACATCATTACTTAGTTCTATATACGGGAAGCCATTAAAAAATGAAGCGAACCGAAGCTTCAAATGCATAAAATACTATAAATACAAATATTAAACGGAATATCTAGGGTTCATAATATTATTTAAAGGAAAAGGAATAAAGACACGTTAGCAATTGTCCCATGACTACTACTAGTCCTCTTCTCACCTCGGCGCGGCGGAGCAGGGTCGATGACGGAGGAGGAGGAGGAGGAGTGGAGGACGAGATGTGGCGGCCGGGGAGAGGAAGCGACGCCGGGGGGAATTAGGTCGGAGGGCTGGTCGGCGCGCGCGGTTTCCTTCTTCCCGTTTTATTCGTTAGGGAATTTTGGATTCGGGGAAGGGAAAGAGCTGGGGTTTCTTTCTTCAGCAGGGACTACGGATCAGTCGCTCTATCTATATAAAATTATAAACTGATCCGCTTATCGCACATTAATCTCCTATTGCTTAATTTGTTTCGGTTTCCTCAACAATTCAGGACAATGTTAGTGGGGCAAAGCCCATGGGCTCTTCCAATTTTATAAGTAGTCCATGGGCTTATCTATCTATCTATTTATTTATTTACCCAAACATATAAGGAGGTTCTCTAGTAGAACCCTCCCATTCTGTTTTTCTGTGTTGTGAGGATTCTTCCGTCCTTTTACTAAATTTCCTTCGGATCCCACTTTTGTTACTCAATTAAATAAAGACAACATATTACTCTACGTATTTCTAGTGATTTATTATAATTAGAAGTTGGTTTATATGAATTTAAGAATACTTAATTGACGTAGTATGACAAATAATTGTAAAATGATATAGTTTGATGGTTTTATACGCATTTGCATTTATTTAGGTTGTCTTATGGATATAAAATTATAAATTATTAGTTTATTTCTTAGTCTTTTATGGGTTTTGGAAAGATAGATCACATTTTCAACCAATAATAAAAAAAGATAGCTAACATAGCCATTATAAAAAATAAATAAAAAAGATAGCTAATATAACTTTGGACTTTGCTATGGTGACTTGCAAGTCACCTAATCCTAACTGAGGTCGACCGAAAAGTGCAAGTTACGGTGACTTGCAAGGCACTATAGGCGCACCCCATAATTTTTTCCCTATGTTTCTTTTTGAACATCGAAAAAATTATGAGATTACACAACATGTTACATGGGGGCTGGGTTTTAATGTATAGTTTTCTGTTACAATAGCAACAACCTCTTTCCTTTTATTCTTTCACATCTTTTGGTTTACTTGATTCGGATAAACTATTACTGGTATTGGTTTTTCTCTCGGAATTATGAAAGACAAATCACATTTTTTATCAATAATAAAAAAAGATAGATCACGATCTCGGAATTATGAAAGACAAATCACATTTTTTATCAATAATAAAAAAAGATAGATCATGATTCCCATTTGTATGTTTAAAATTCCAAAACAATAGCTAACATATTTTTTTCCTACTTTCGGCTAGCGAAAAAATTATAAGATTACACCACATGAGGGCTAGGTTTGTAATGTATAGTTTTCTGTTCTATAGCAACAACTCCTTTCGTTTTATTCTTTCACATCTTTAGGTTTACTTAATTGGTTCCCATAAACTCCTACTGGGAGAATTATATTAGTGGGATGATTATTTTGCTCAAAACTTCCTTTGACAATAATATATTATTCTTTTATGTTATACATGTTTCGGCATCATTTTAAGTTTTTGGAGTTCATTATTATTGGCTACTATATTTTATGGTTATATGACTTCCACAAATATTCAACAAATATTCATCATGGAGAATCATATAATTAGCAAAAGTGTGCTCCAATTGGCTCTCAAAAGAGCAAGTATGCGAAAGGTGGAGGTGATGAATTCGGTGGTGGAGATAGCGATGTTGCTAAGAGAAAAGAAAACATTGTTGATTGTTGATAACTAGAGATAAAAATTTCAATGACGGGAGGAAAGATCGAATCGTTGATAATATTATAACTGATGATTGTTAATATAAAGGTTTCATTAATGCAGATGAAGCTACATGGAGAAAATGATGCTTTTGATGACTGGAGCAATCTAAAAAACAACCGAAAAAAATTTGCAGTAATTTCCTACATTGAGGAGTAAATTGAAGGGTACTAAGATTATGTTTTTCGAGAATGAGTTCCTTGCATTGGTGTTGTGTTTTCAGTTTTGACAAGGCCTTTGTCCATAGATGATCAAAATGTCATATGTCTCCAAAGGGACTACCTTTTTTATGTATGTTATTTCTTTTTTACAGTTTCAGTAATTGAATCATTTGGATTATTTCCTGATACCAAATAAAAAGTAACTTGACTTGGATAATTCCTACTATTATTGATGTCTTTAATGTACTTTATCCGACCAACGGGCGGTCCCAAATCTAGTTTAATAGAATATAAGTTATCGTCCGCCATGGATCAGAAAGTACAGATTTTTTGTGCGAATACTAACCTATGATACTCTGCGAGCATATAACGAACTATGCATACCTCCATCTCGACTACAAAAAACCATATTAAGCCAGCTGGTTTTTTGGATTGATTGCACCGAAAACCAGGTGTCCTTGCCCGGGTCGAAAATACCAACAAATGTGAGCACTAAAGTTGTTTTTTTTTTAATAACCAGATACTGACATAACCTAATATGAACAACATTTGCATATCCATCATCTTCCTCATAGCATCATCCAAAATTTTCCTAGCTGCAATTTGCTGTGAAAAAGGAAACCACTATGAACACCTCCTCGCAGACGATTGAAACAAAAGGGTTAACAAGGAAAAGAAGACCAAGCAGCTAGGATTTGAATGAGACGCTTTATGTGCCCTTTCACTTAACTATGATACGTGCTCTAGTCGAGGCCCTCCGAAATCCAGTCAGTTCTGTGAGAATCAACACCTTCTCGGCCGCTGATAGTTTCCCCTCCAGCTGGATTTCCATCGACTCAAGTGCATGTGAGGAGCTGAACAGCCATTCGAGGAAAGCTGTTTCGTGTTTGGTGCCCTTGAGCCGCTTCACTTCCACCTTCGCAAGTCGGCTCAGCTCATGCTTCGACGCGTTATTTGCATCATGCAACATGCCTCGGAGTCTGCCAGCATCTAGAGTACCACCATAACGTCTTTTGATTGCCTCTGATGATTTACCAGTAATGTCCACCATAGATTCAGTAAGTTGGAGGGGTAGTCATTCAAGACTGTAATCACAGAACGTCCCTTATTGATGAGAGCGGTTTTGAGAAGTGGCGTATGCTTCAAATGGAGAGAGCTGAACTTTCCATCATACCGGAAACAACTAAGTTTTGGAGCTTCTATCAAAATGTGAGGCTCTTGGTGAAATCTGCCACAGTCAACCAATGACAAAGCAGAGAGCAATGGACAAAGCAGAGAGTAATTGACGCTCACATTTCTCAGCTCAAGAACATTTAGCACACTGAAACATTCGAATGAAACAGGGGAGGTTGTGAATTGACAGCAACACATCCGCAGGACCTTGAGTTGTGAAAAAGAGAACAAACGCATTGGCAGAATATAGTCTTCGTAATTATTTTAAAATGGAAGTCTTTCCATTGTGATGGTTAAATTGTCAATGCCTTTTTTCTTGAAGAAACAGCAGGATCTGATCAATCTGAGCCGGGAAGCTCCTTAATATGGGAAGCGAGAGTGAAAGCTCCTGCAAAGGCCCGCGGTGAAGCAACAGAACTGTGCAGAGTTTGAACATTAGTTTGTTCATCTCTGCAATCTGGTCTTGTCCTTTGGCTTCTAAATTAGTTTGACAAAAGCTTTCGTCAAAGACAAACTTTGGGAGTCGGGTCCAGATCTTCCTCCATCCAGATGAAAGGATGCTGGCCTTGGCTGCTTCCCGTAATGGTAAAAACATCAGGATCTGCTCTCTTAAATTGTCTGGCAAGCTACTGATTTCATCTGCACCAATCCGCATTCTCGTCGCCATTGAAAGGAAACCAGAATCCACTTTGTTTGCAACAAGAGTAATCAGGTCCTGTTCTGATTATATTTCCGCGAGACTGTTACAGCAGTACTTCTACTACTACCACCTTCTTCCTGCCAAAAAATGTGTAGCAGCATCTTATATCCACCAGGCATAAGCTTTGAAAACTTTGTGGTTACTAAGGGCAACATTCTGCATGAACATTATGAAAGAACATCCAAGGCATCTCAAGGTCCAACTACAGAGACATGGAGCATAAACTTCGCCATGAAACATGAAGGAAATGTGTGGCCTCGAACTGACTTGCTGAAACTAAATGATTAGCTCTGGCAGTCTAAGGCAGCAACCAGTCTCGAATCGCATCAGTTTGTTTGTTCTTTTAGTTTGATAGTTTGTAGTTAAGAAGAGAACCTGATCATTATAATCAATGATCTACTGTGCTCTTAAGGGTTCAGAAAGATTGAGTCTTTGCTAGTCACGTTGAGTTTGCAAGAATAAACAACAACTATGGAGCTCATTATCTATTGGTATTGCCAACAAGGCAACAACTGAACTCTCAGAGTACGATTCTCTGCTAGGGTTTCAGGATTCAAAATTAAAAGCGTGGGATTTATAGTGAAAAGCATGCATGCAAAACCACAAAAATGAGATAGCAGGTTGGCATTACTTGAAGCGAAGGGAGAATTCTCGAAACCAACGGTTGGAGCTTATTGGAAGTTCATGAATCCACTCAAACAAGAAAATCCAGACAGTGGAAAACCTCTAGGCGAGCGGAAAGAGAGGGACGTGGGGGAGAAACAGAAAGGACATACTTATGAAAGCGCACCTTGGAGTTGAAGGCGATGAAGGCGCGGTCGGCAGACGGCAGTCTCCTGATCCTCTGCTCAGGTAATCGAAGCCATGGCGCCGGAGGAACAAAAGTGAAAAACAGAGAAAAAATGTAAATGTAGACAAGACAACCACAAGACGGGGCCGGGAAGTCTTTCAAGTTTCAACTTGCTATTGTCATTGCCCACCGGTGTACCGGAGAAGAGCAACGAAGTTCGTGGACCCAAGCCCATGGGCTCTTTTGAATTTTTATTGGTATCCTTTGGGCTTATTGAGCAGATCAAGTAATCGTCCGCCAATCCATGCATCAGAAGAGATCCATGGACGATCTATAATGTAAGTTTGAGATTTGTATTTGGTGCTTTCTGTACCAAAATTGGTCAAACTCAAAAGGGATTTTCTTTGTGCATATTACATTACTGTGACTTTGTGAGCATAAAAGGACTAGGCATCTCTTCTTTTTTTTTCCGAAATGAATAGCAATGTACGAGAATATACAAGACCAAAAGGTCAGAAAAAATAAAAATGAGCAATACGATGGTCAATAAGATGTTGATCAATCGATGTGGATCAATCGATGAGAGGGCATTTTTCGCCACCGTATCGGTATGGGCAGCCCTGTTATACCTACGCGGAGCGAAATGAAACGATGCACGCGTGAGAGATGTTTACAGCACTTGAACCTCCTTCAGAATGGCACCTCCGTATGTGTGAGCCGAGTCATTCGCAGCAACCATCCGAAGGACAACCTGTGCATCACCAAAGAACATGACATTAGTAAGTGAATGAGAGAGGCACCAACGCATGACATCTCGGAGAGCCACTAACTCGATGAGAAAAGGATTCGAACTTATAACCCTTCAACCACATCCGCCATGGCTTCTTCTCTCACAGTCGTAGTAGCTCCGAGTCTTGGCATGGCGACCAAGAAAAATACTGCTCCCATACTTAAGAAACCAGTAGCAGTTGTTTTATCTTCTCGCCATATGGCCAGACCTTTCCCAACAATTTCAAGCCGTTGCCATGCTCATCACCATCAGCCCCCGTCGTTGCACAGTAGATTTACAGACAAATTGCTGATCTCAATTACTACTTACTACATATTATTTGCTGGATCTTGTGTGCGTGCATGGAGTCCATTAATTACTTGCATCTCTCTCTGTCTCCATAGTTTACTTTGTGTTATCTCCGCCTCCCTCATTCGCAACTCTACTTCCTTCGTGTATGAATGGATTATGTAATTCATAAATCCATTTAATAAATCAGGTTTAATAGTTGGTTGAAAGAAACACATGATTTGAAAGAAACATATTTAAAGCCTAAATATAGTACTGTCGAAATCGGGCAGCTCCATTAGTACAATATTGTCCACTTTGGGTCAAGCTCGTACGGTTTTGCTTTTGAGTATCCACCCCTAAAAAGTCTCGCATAATTGAGCTAGGTTGACACTTATATACCAATGTATCTTCCCTCTTATATTTCAGATGTGATACTTCGATTCTTCCTACCTACGTACATATTCCCAAACTTTGAAACTCTCTTTCTATTGAATAATGGGATCACTTGACAATATTGCCATATTATAAATTCAGCTCTCCTTGAAATGAAAAGTAATTATATATTTGTGTAATATGGATAATTCAAATATGCTTACCATATATAGCTTATGGATATGGTCATTACAATCCCCCCCGAGTTTCACTAATGGTAAAAAACCCCCGAAACCATTTGCGAAAATCACGAAAGTTTTACCAACCTAAGGAATGTTTGACGATATGATATTGTTCACCTACATATTCATCATCCAAATCAATCCACAAAACCGACACCCATCAACGTAACTAACTACCAATCATCATGATAACGACGCGAAACAACGGCCATGCTTCCGCCGGCCGCCGGAACCTTCTCCCGCCGCCGGCACTCCTCCTCCTACTCCTAGCCGCTGCTTCTCCTGCCGACGCGTGGAGCATCTGGGGGAAGACGACGGTGGTGGTGAGAAACGAGCTGGTGAACCACCTCCAGATGGACCTCCACTGCAAGTCCCGTGAGGACGACCTCGGCGGAGTGCTGCTGCAGGTGTTCGAGGAGTTTCAGTGGTCCTTCAGGCCCAACCTCTTCGGTGGCACGCTGTTCTACTGCCACGTCAACTGGGGCGACGGCCGGCTCTACTGGTTCGACTTCTACGTCCAGCACAGGGACATCAAGCGCTGCCGGAGCGTCTGCAGGTGGTCCGTCGACGTGCATGGGCCATGCAGTTATAACGAGCACGAGGGCGGGTACGACAAGTGTTATCACTGGAATTATGTGAGCGTTAGGAGAGGGTTGTTGGGGAATGGAACGATGGAGGAAGGGAAGAGAGGTTTGACCGAGTAGAAATCTAGCTAATTAAGCTATAGCTATATAGAAAGTAGAAACCAAATAGAAATAATAATTGATTTGAATTTATCAGTTTTTTTTTTGTTTAATAATAATTTTCAGTTTCAGTTAAATTGTATACGTACAGATATAGTTTTTACAAATTTCGAATTTCTGTTGTTATATGTTTGAGCCCGAGCGACTGGGCGTCACTCGGGTCCAAGGGGTTTGGGGTGTCAGACATGACCTTGAAAGGGTAGGCGCCCCGCCTCGTCCGAAATAAGAGAAAAGAAGAAGTATATAGAGAGAGAAAGTAGAGAGAAGTAGTAGTAAGTGTAGATAGATTGCCATTTATGAGGAGAGAACTCCTATTTATACACATTTGAGGGTTAGGTAGTGGTCTGGGCGCCTGCCAAGCCATAAATGCTGTGGTCGGGCGCCTCAGACCTTCTGACACTGTACATGGTACTTTTTGACAGAGGGTGTCCCCCTGCCCCTTGTCCTTGCTGATGTCAGGTGCCTGGCCTTGTCTTTTGTCTCCTTGCCTTGTCCTTTTGCTCTGTTGTCTTCTTTCCTTCTTTATACCATTAGCTAGAGTTTTGCCTCCTTAGTTACTAGGATACTCTATCAATTGCCCCTTTGACGTCGATATGAGTATCATGGCGGCGTCAACATAAAGTGAGTTTCACTAACCTTGCTTTCTCGTCTTCACAATCAAGTGCCAGCTCTCTTTCTTTAGTTAATCGGCACCAGGCTCTTCCTTTCAAGTGGGTGCTTCATTCTCTTATTGATCTTCTGATCTGTTGAGCGCTTGTGCACCCGTGTGGGTGTGCTTGCTTCCAAATAAGGTGTAGTAAAATGAGGAAGAATAAACACATGTCTCAAGTAACGGAGACTATCAAAAGAAGCAATCATGCCCCTTTTCAGTTTTCCTTTGATTGTGCCTTGCCCATTTGAAACGAGCGCCTAGCGCTCTTTTCCAATTTTTTTCTTTTTCTTTTTGCCAAAAGATACCACTGATATTCAAATGCTTTCCATTCATTGTCTAAGATGCTCCATTTTTCTTTCGATTGCTTGTGCTCTTTTAGAAGAGTGCTTGCTTCGATTCTTTGGCTAAGCACTGGTCACCCAGCTTGTCGTTAGTTTCCCTAAGACCCAAACTCAACGAGGTGTTTGGCGACAAGCTGCTTTGCTGATGTGTCTGACCTTCAGTTGGGCGCCTGACATTTTACTCCTTAGCGAGGTGCCTGACCTTCAGTGGGGTGCCTGGCGCCTCACTCCTTCGCTTATGTCTTTGGTAAGCATGTGTCACACAACTTGTCGTTTGTTGCCTTAAGACCCAAAGTCAACGAGGTGCCTGGTGACTTGCTCATTTGCCGAGGTGCCTGACCTGGCACCTCACTCCTTCAGTGAGGCGCCTGGCACAACACTCCTTCAGCGAGGTGCCTAACCTTTCAGCGGTGTACATGGCGACTCGCTACTTTGTCGCGGTGTTTAACATTTGATAGGGTGCCTGACACCTTCGGTGAGGTGCCTGGCGACTCGCTCATTTACATAGGTGTCTGACATTCAGTTGAGCGCCTGTCACCTCACTCCTTCAGCGAGGCGCCTGACACCACACTCCTTCAGCGAGGTGCCTAACCTTCAGTGGGCGCCTGGCACCTCACTGACATTCAGTTGAGCGCCTGTCACCGCCTTGGCCATTTGAAACGAGCGCCTAGCGCTCTTTTCCAATTTTTTTCTTTTTCTTTTTGCCAAAAGATACCACTGATATTCAAATGCTTTCCATTCATTGTCTAAGATGCTCCATTTTTCTTTCGATTGCTTGTGCTCTTTTAGAAGAGTGCTTGCTTCGATTCTTTGGCTAAGCACTGGTCACCCAGCTTGTCGTTAGTTTCCCTAAGACCCAAACTCAACGAGGTGTTTGGCGACAAGCTGCTTTGCTGATGTGTCTGACCTTCAGTTGGGCGCCTGACATTTTACTCCTTAGCGAGGTGCCTGACCTTCAGTGGGGTGCCTGGCGCCTCACTCCTTCGCTTATGTCTTTGGTAAGCATTTGTCACACAGCTTGTCGTTTGTTGCCTTAAGACCCAAAGTCAACGAGGTGCCTGGTGACTTGCTCATTTGCCGAGGTGCCTGACCTGGCACCTCACTCCTTCAGTGAGGCGCCTGGCACAACACTCCTTCAGCGAGGTGCCTAACCTTTCAGCGGTGTACATGGCGACTCGCTACTTTGTCGCGGTGTTTAACATTTGATAGGGTGCCTGACACCTTCGGTGAGGTGCCTGGCGACTCGCTCATTTACATAGGTGTCTGACATTCAGTTGAGCGCCTGTCACCTCACTCCTTCAGCGAGGCGCCTGACACCACACTCCTTCAGCGAGGTGCCTAACCTTCAGTGGGCGCCTGGCACCTCACTGACATTCAGTTGAGCGCCTGTCACCTCACTCCTTCAGCGAGGCGCCTGACACCACACTCCTTCAGCGAGGTGCCTAACCTTGAGTGGGCGCCTGACACCTCACTCCTTCAGCCAGGCGCCTAACCTTGAGTGGGGCGTCTGGCACCTCACTCCTTCAGCCAGGCGCCTTCAGCCAGACGCCTAACCTTGAGTGGGGCACATGGTGACTTTCTCATTTGCCGAGGTGCCTTACCTTCAGTTGGGCGCCTGGCACCTCACTCCTTCAGCGATGTCAGACACCTATGTAAATGAGCGAGTCGCCAGGCACCTCACCGAAGGTGTCAGGCACCCTATCAAATGTTAAACACCGCGACAAAGTAGCGAGTCGCCATGTACACCGCTGAAAGGTTAGGCACCTCGCTGAAGGAGTGTTGTGCCAGGCGCCTCACTGAAGGAGTGAGGTGCCAGGTCAGGCACCTCGGCAAATGAGCAAGTCACCAGGCACCTCGTTGACTTTGGGTCTTAAGGCAACAAATGACAAGCTGTGTGACAAATGCTTACCAAAGACATAAGCGAAGGAGTGAGGCGCCAGGCACCCCACTGAAGGTCAGGCACCTCGCTAAGGAGTAAAATGTCAGGCGCCCAACTGAAGGTCAGACACATCAGCAAAGCAGCTTGTCGCCAAACACCTCGTTGAGTTTGGGTCTTAGGGAAACTAACGACAAGCTGGGTGACCAGTGCTTAGCCAAAGAATCGAAGCAAGCACTCTTCTAAAAGAGCACAAGCAATCGAAAGAAAAATGGAGCATCTTAGACAATGAATGGAAAGCATTTGAATATCAGTGGTATCTTTTGGCAAAAGGGACTTGAATATCAAATCGGTATGTTGAGTCAGTAATGGTATGTCGAGATCCGAGTCGGGAGAAAAATTAGTAAATTGGGTATAATACTTAATTGAGAACGAAAGTTAGAGTGCGTCTAATTGGGAATGGTTTATCGAGAGAGGTGTTGTATTCGAATTTTTTCGACCCAATTTGTTAAGCACACGTGGTATTCGGATTTATGTAAATTTTAAGGCTGCGTAAGTTTACTTTCTCGCGAGGGGTCGTGTTAGTAAATGGCAGAAGATCCAGATATTGAATCTCTCCCAACAACTCGAGATACTGATATTAAATGGTTTTGGAACTAGAACATTGGTCGAAAAGAGAACGGCTAAGTAGCTAAATCATGAACAATTGGTTGGTGTAAAATATATTATTGAACCTGTTCTAACGACTCGAGTTATTGATATGTGCTTAAACCTTTCTTGACAAAAAAAATATCATTCGAAAGTAAAAGACTAAAAAAATCATAAATAATTGTTTTTTGTTTAATATATAAAGAGTTATATGCTTGCTAGTTTCTACAGCTCCAATTAATTCGTGTAACACAAGCAAGACATTGGGTTGCTGGCCCGGCCCAGCCCGACCGATCCTAAAGCCAAAAGTTTGTTATATTTTTGTAAGCCAAAAAAAAAAAAAAAACAGTCGGAAAACCCGCGGCCTTCATCTATCTGCGGCGTCCGTCCAAAATCATTATCAGAAGTTCAGAACGAAATCCATTTCAACAGTTCTCTGGGGAACCCAGTAGCTTATCTCAGCGGGAAGGAAGATATTTTCTCGCTGAATGGACGCTCTCGCTGTCTCAGGAATCGCCTGTTTCGCCAACTGCCCCAATTCTCTGCTTCCCAATTCATTATATCCAGTGCCTTATCCTCCCAAGCCGCTTCTGAAGAAGAACCCACGACTAGCTTCGGTTTTGAAAGCCAGCTACAGCCCAGGTCTTGAAATTGCAATTTCACCTCCCTCGTTTACTTTCTCTGTATCATTTCGACGTTCTGCCCTTCTGGGTTCCTGGCTACTTGGTCCCCATTTTCATCAATTGAGCAAGTTTAGAATGAATGTCAGACATTGGTAGCTATTTTATTATGCTGCTGCATGCTTTTTAACTGTCATTGAGCTGTTTACTTGTGACTACGAGCAAGTGCAGTCTCTTTTTAGTTAGCTTTTGATAATCAGTCCAGGTCTTCTCATTAGACGAATTATTTGTCTATGTTTACTCGATAAGGGAAACAGGCTCTTGAATAGTATCTTTCTGGGTTTTGGCAGTGAGTGAACTTGCAGAGGACGATGTTCTGCAAATGTTTCTGGAGGAAAGAGCGGTTAGCGGAGACTTAATATCAAAAGTTTGTGACATGTTCTGGCAGAGAGATATTGTAAAACTTGCTGATGCTGATGTCGATGCCAGTAAATTCGTTGATACTACACTGGAACTAGAGCAGGTGAACTGAATAGCTTTTTTTTTTTGGTCAAAGAATCACTTGTATTAACGATTTTGTGGGTTCTTCCTTGTGTGTTGAGTAGGCGTCTTATTTTAGAGCCAACTTGATTTCATTTGATAGAATGTTGTTCCTGGTCTTATCAGTTTTCTCATGTTGCTATATGTTTTAGGCAAGCCACACCTTACCCCATCGTATGTACTTGACATCGCTTTGTGGCTGAACCTAGCTTTACTAAAGAGATTGTTATTGACTACAAAAGCGATTTTTGTGTTTGCTTTGTTTCTCCACTCTCCAGGCATAATTTTATCTTATCTGCTATTCTCGATTTTCCTTCCTTTCTTTTATTCTGTCATGGATCCAGGTGACTGGAATGGCTCTAAATTGGAAGTCTCTTTACATACACAGGGTACAGAAGATGACGACAATGATGGATTTTTGAAACTGTCTGGAACCCGGGAATGGATATTAGGAGCTAGTGATGCACCAGTGAACAAGAAAGCCATTGCTAAGGTGCCATTATGCCTTCAATTCGATTTCATATTTTGCCGTTGGTTTGAGATTCTTGCTGATGGCTGATTGTTTGTCTTGTCCTGCAGGCTCTGCAGGACGACAGAGAAAGAAGAAAAAAACTGAATTTTCTTAAATACGAAGCTGTATGGCTTTTGCTTTGAACTCTGCAAAGTTACTACCTATGTTGAGTTTTTGCTGATCTCCCCCTCAACAGTCAGGAGACCTCTTTGCAATACCTCTCTGTTTCTGCAATAGTTTATGAGTCTTAAAGCTCAGTTGCTGTGGTTTACACGGCCCCTTACAGTGCACTTGTCTGTTTGATTCATGCTTCAAGTTGCTGCACTCAGCTGAGTCACATTACTTGCATTCTAAACTATAACCTTCCTCATTCTTACGCATGATCATATCTTCCCTCTTGCAGCTCAAAAGAGAACTGATGTTTCTATCAATTGGAATTGGCACAGCGTGTTGCGGATATTGTTTAGTAACTTTATCACTTCAGGTAAACTTCGGAAGTCAGGGACTCATGCGCAATATCAACGATCTTACCATGTATAGGAGGTGATATTTTAGGGAATTCATGTGTGGTGTAAGGAGTTGCTATTTATTATGGAGTAGTCCATTCGTCTTTTGACTGAATTGCTGAAGTGTATAATCAAGCATGTTAGATGTTCAAGCAATAAACTTCTTTCTATTTTGCAGTCACTCTCCTTTCATAGATGATTTAAGTTTAACATTCTCTGTTTCTTCACAGTGTTGTTAGAGCATCGTTTTTATGAAAGCTAGTAACCAAAGTTTGCTTGAGGCCAAAAAACAACACAGGCCCAAGTGATTCAATTTTAGGCTTTGGATTTGTAAAGGTTACAGGTTGATAATACATTTATGGAAAACTGACCACCTGATGCATTTTTTCAGGCTGCAATAAGTTATGCAGTTGGAGTGCTTTTCAGGTTAGTTTGTCTAGTGTTTCCTTTGCCCATTTATGCTGGTCCATTAACACCAAAACCTTTCCTGTAAGTGACTGCATAGCTAGTGTTTTATCCAGAGCAAAATTGTAACGACTCTCTGCAGTTGAGAGGTTATTTGTTAAAAGAAACAATCTTGTTTGACCAATATTGTAATCTTTTTCAGCATCTATAGAGATCCATAGGTCACTAAGCTGAGTTGAACAACTTCCTTGTACAAATCCATAAACAATGATCACCTTCATTTTGCTGTTTTCTTGTTTTGCTAACCAACTTCTTTTGCGGCGCAGTTTGCTATACTTTCAGCTTTTGTGCCAGCATTCAGACAACCTTTCAAGGGAAATGATCCCTTCAATTTTCATGCAAAAGAAGGCAAAGAAGTACACGCTCTCTCTTCTCGCCAATGTTTGTAAATCTGCCATCTTTGCATGCTCTCTTCTCGTTCAGAAATTTAAAATCCTTATGATCTCTCTCTCTCAGAATTGGGATAAGAAGTGAGGACCTCACAGATTCATTGGAGAAGACAATAAGGGGAAGCGGCATTGCACTTTCATCTCCACGACTCGTGATTCCAGCTGCAGTGTATGGTCTTTGGGTCCTGTGTCATCACTATATTGCCATTGACTTGTTCGATTTCCAGGTACTGTGAAGCATTAAGATGAAGATCCCAAATGCAATTCCAGTAGTCTCAAGCATGCTCACGAATGTCTGAATCCACGGTTCTTTTCCACAGATCGTCCCAGCCATGTTCGGGATGTTTGTGTACAAAGCTGCAGCTCTGGTTCAAGTGTACAGAGATAACGAAGACCTCCAACTTATCTTCCCGGAAGATTGAAGTTACTCTTGATCCAAGTAAATGTATGCCACCATTCGCTCCTCCTATAGGCGCCACTCTTCGTGCAAAAATCACTATCTGCTGTTGGTTGTGGCTGTGAACATCTGCTGTTTTGCTTTGTTTTATTCTTGCTCTCTCTTTTTTCAGACAAAAAGGAAAGAAGGCCTCTACAACAAGAAACAAACAAGAAAACAACTGGTCATGGCAAAATGGACGATGGTGATTCTTGGAGAAGCTAGGCCACTAGGGCAGTGCTAGTAAATATTTATGCGGAATTAGTTGAAAACCCTTCTTCACTGGTTGAGTTTGTGAATCAATTTGCAGCCTCTTCTGGTTTCAATGAAGATAGTAGAGACTATATAGTGTGCAATCTATTGGTCTTTGTTTGTATCATAATCGTTTCCCCTACCTTTTTGCAACTGTCAGAAAATTATGACGATTTTAACTCGAGATAATGTCATATCAGACGATTATCGTGTTCAAAGACCGTGATAATGCCACTTCCATTCATACCTTGCATCCTATAATCGACAATTCGACATAGCTCTGGTTCACATTTGGTCGGCAAAAAAAATAGTAAGTTGAAAATTTGTTTTTAGACCTTCGACAATTATTCTGTATCGTTCCAATTTTATCATGAGACGATAATTGTGTTTCTGAAAATGGCTTGTGATCATGAACTAGTTATTTTCAATAAATCGAGTTGTTGGGAAAAGTTAAATCGTAGATCATATACCCGACACTAACAACTTGAACCTGACTTAGAACTTGAATAAGTACGCACTTGAAATCTTATTACTTATTAGGCAATAGAGACAATGGAAAATCGATCTTTTTCAGCAGCCATGAGATCTCACTTCAGCTAGTAGCCTTTCCACTGGGGGCGAATGGCCAACTGAGAACATTTCAACTTCCACTCTCGCCGATCTCTCAATCTCAAATGTCCGGAGGTGCCTTCTCCGAATCGATTTCCCCGGCCAAGGAGAAACCCTAGCTCCTCTCCGCAATCGTCTCCCTTCCGCTCATTGAACTCGAAACTCGAAAAATGTCTTCCAGGAAACCAGGCGACTCCGATGTGCTGTCCTCCTTGTACTCCATGATTCCACTCCTCTTCTTACTCTTAGCCTGCGTCGAGCTCTCCGACGCCGCCGCAGCAGTCGACGTCTACCGTCTGGTACAGTATGACATCTCCGGGGTTCCGTTTGGATCTCGTCTCGCCGCACTCAATCACCACGCCGCCTCTTTGCATTCCTCTGCCGGCGCCGATCTCTCCCGCTCCGTTCTCATCATCCCCCTCCGGGAGTTGAACATCTCTCTCGTCAAAGGTAACTTCCAGTCGCGGCTGCTTGTTTTGCATTTTGGAGTTTGACTTCGTTGAGCTCGATGTATTAAATTTGGCGGCATGCTGTAACTGATGTAACGGTTTGCTTCCATTACGTCGCCGTGAAGTGATATTGTTGGCTTCAACTGTAACCCCAGCTTCATTTTTGGACTTTCCATAAGCATGTCAGTTTAGTGCGCCCTTTCTGCATTTTGATGTAGAGCGCCACTTTGGTCATGACAGAATATATTTCTCAAAAGAAGACTCTTGGTGGCTTGTTGCTTCTGCTTCCTCAAATGTTTAATTTTGAGAGTGGAGATATGGCGGTAACTAAGGATGACATTCATGAGATGGAGAGGCTGAAGAATCTATTAGTCGAATTGGAAGAACTTCTGATACATGCTAATATACCTGTGAGTTCGTCAGTCTCTTTTGCTCTTCAGTGAACCTTGATATATGCTAGTTCCTAAGGTCTGCACAAACGTTCATTTCGTTTTCTCTTACTAGAATCTTATTACCAACCTAGTGTAGTAAAATGCCCACTTTAAGGCTAATGGACTTAATGATGTCTACATTGAAAATCTTGCAAGCATTGGAGACCCTTTTGTTAAACTTCATGAAATCTGAGCATTTTTTTTGTAACCTTGTCCATATGACTTGTTCAATTTATTCAAATTTGCACATGGTCTCTGTGCATTTCTTCGTGAACCACACTATATCCTTGCTCTTTGCAGTTTACAGCTTTCCGACTTCTTTCATGAACCATTCATCGTTTTCTTCTCTCCCATCGGGTCTCATAGGATAGGATAAACAGAGGCTGTGTGACATGTAATCTTATGTGTAACTTGTTCAAGCTCCGTGTATTCTCCATGTTCAAATGGTTTAGGATTATAACTGTTTGAGTCTCGAGGTTCAGACTTCAGAGGTATATGATGATATATAGTTTTTTTTTTTTTGTCAAATATCTTGTGCATCCATTTGATTGGATATTTAGAATGCCGCTACTGGACCTTCATATTTTACATGGATGGACTAGGTATAGGAGTATGGGGTCACTTATCCAGTAGGCTAACTCATATGATTTGCTCATTTTCAGATTATTTTTCTACAGCCTAAGCCCATTGTATCTTCTCACTGTTGTCTTAATGACTTTTATCATCTTTCTCACTGGATTTTCCATTTCTTATTAAATGTTTTATCTTATCTTATCTTACTCAATACTGGAGTATTGACTGTCTTTTTTGTTGTTATTGCAGTATCCTGTATATTTTGCTTTTGAGCATGATGACATAGAAGCTGTATTGGCCGACATCCAGAGGAATGATGTAAATGGTCAGGCGGCTACTCCGACTAATGGAGGGTTAGTTGATAGAGATTATTCAATATGAGAACTTAGATCATTTTGTTTATTTCTATCGTGATTAATGTTTCATTTTAATTTGTAATGGTGGAATTCTGATTAGGAGTGATAGCGGCCATTAGTCATTCATATTGTTGTATTCTTTCTTATTCTGAAGAACCGTTGTGTTTATTCTAAGTACTGTTGCATTTATTACTCAACCTCAGTTTCTGGTCTAATATAAGGTACTGTGCAATATTTTTCCCACGGCTAAAGGGGTTTGAATCGTAAATATCTGCCTTACCACCTTCATGAAAGGAAATGAATTGTTAGCTTGCTTTCATTCCCAGGATAAGAGTTCAGAAAACCTTCAGCATTTGCTATTTTATATGGGTTTTCTTTTCTTGATCCAAAGACTCAATAGCTACTTTGATCCATCTAGATACTTTCTTGCTTTAGAGTTGAGCACCCCTAAGTCTTATTTTCCCTTTTAGGTTGTCTGGTAGCGGCTTTAGATAAAGAGACTAGAACATTTTCAGACTTGAATTCATATGGTACCTATGTGCAATGACTTTGAATTTTTTATATGGTTGTAGAAGTTTGAATTACTTTGGCACTTAAGATAATTCTGCACTGCAATTTGACTGTTGACTTCATCTTATTGATTTGTTGGCATGCCATTGTTGTTTCTTGTCTGACATTCCAGCTATTTCTCAAATTAGAACTCCTAGAATGAAATCCACCTACAGTTTTGCGTTGTTATGGATTGGCAGAAATTAATTGCCAACTCTCAGGCACTTTCTGCCTAAGCTCATTACTGCTCATCTCTTGCACTAACACGTTCTCTATGTTGCTTTGTGATAGTGAGATTGACTATGCCGAACTTATCTGTTGAGACCTTGAGCTTTATTTTCATCACACTATACTGCAGATACAAGTTCGTGGTCTCAGCTCCAGAACCTAAAAAGCTTGCATCTCCAATCATGACAAACATTCAGGTGTGCTTTCTTTTCTTTTTCAGGAAACAACTTGATAAAAAGACCAGGAATTATTTTTAGGCTACTACAAATTATAGTGTCAATTGCAACCTGTTATTTCAATTATTATATACTTGCTTGATCTTTGTTCTTAACTTTATTTTGATTTTCGTGTCTGCATTAACCACGCCAGGGATGGTTGCCAGGATTGAAACCGGATGGAGATACTAATCAACTTCCAACTATTGCTATTGTTGCTTCATATGATACATTCGGGGCTGCTCCTGTATGTGATTCTATCATTCTCTTGTGGTTTGTTATTATTTATTCGTCGCAGCATGTTAATGGAGGAATAGTTAAATGTGTAGGCATTATCAGTGGGAAGTGATAGCAATGGAAGCGGCGTTGTGGCTCTTCTTGAAATTGCCAGGTTGTTTTCTCTTCTTTATTCAAATCCAAAGACAAGAGGAAAGTATAACTTGCTTTTTGGTCTGACTTCCGGTGGACCATACAATTATAATGGAACTCACAAGGTACTTCATTTTGGACGGGATTCATTTGACTGGCTTTTGAGTCGCTTAACATGTTGGTTAATCCTTTTTCTGTTTCCATTTACTGAAGCATTTCCCTTCTGCAGTGGCTTAGGAGCTTCGATCAACGTTTACGTGAGACAATTGATTATGCCATTTGTTTAAATAGCATTGGCTCCTGGGATGATAAGTTGTGGCTTCATGTGTCTAAACCTCCTCAAAATGCCTATGTGAAACAAATTTATGAAGTAAGCTAGTGACATCTGAGTTCTATAATGTAAGTATAGTTTGATGCAGGACCTGATCCAGGTGTTTCCTTTTTTTTCCAGCGGTTCTCTGGAGTAGCAGGAGAACTTGGTCTTAAAGTTGAACTCAAGCACAAGAAAATCAATATTTCTAATCCTCGAGTGAGTTTGTCTTCCTGGGTCGTAGTGACATGAGTTGGAGTTGTGTGTCATATTGAAGGTTTTTGTTGGGATGTGTACGGGGATGATCATATGATAAAAGTTTCTCCACTAGGTGGATCCATTAGATATTTGCCCAAACTGGCTGCTCCTTGAGGTGATCCTACAGTAGTTCCATAACCGATGCGAACCATCTCTCAAGCATCTTCAAAGCTTTCCTCTTTTTGTGTGTATGGATACTACAATTCCTGCTCTCATAAAGTTAATGGTTTTCACTTAACATAGAAATGTTGTCCATCAGTGCATGTCCAGTGACTAGGAGACTAGGACAGATGTCATAGCAGAATAGGTTAATTTGTAATCTTAGTTCGCATCAGTGATACTAAAAGCGTAGTCTTAAAGCAAGACTGGTCAAACTGGAAAGATGTGTCAAACTGTTCTATCAATTAAGTCTACTTGGCTCGTGTATTCAGTTTTCCATCATTGATAGAGTTGTACTTAGTTTAGGCACTTTTAGCGTGCATAATAATACCATGCAGATCTCCTTAGTTAAGGTTTTGGACCAAATAATGAGTTCCTTACATGCTGTAGATAGCTTGGGAGCATGAACAGTTTTCAAGGCTCAGAGTGACTGCTGCGACTCTTTCTGGGCTCTCTTCTGCTCCTGAACTGTTTCAACGCACAGGAAGTCTTTCTGATAGCGGGTTATGTTCTCCAGTCAAACTTACTGTCATTGAATTGATGATTCGATGCTTGTCGTATTTTGTTTTCTTCTGACAAGTATTTCTGATGAACAGAAATCTTGTAAGCGAAGATGCTATCAGAAGAAGTATCAAGTTAGTTGCTCAGAGTTTTGCGGTATGGTTAACCTATAGTAGATCATGTTAATATATAAGATTACATAATGATCATTATCAGAAGTTCTCCTTTTATATTTTGCACCATGAATGCACTACAAGCACTTACTTAGGAGTGAGTACAAGTCATGCATGTGACAGATGCATCTCTTTTTTTTTTTTTTTTTTCTTTCCGTTTCCTTATTCACAGTCACCTGAATGGGATTCAAGTCAAATATTCATTAATTATTGTCAAATGAACCCCTACTGAGATTCTTGTCCTCACATTATACAGAGGCATATATACGATCAGCAGGAGGACATGCCTGTCTTTGCAGATGATAGCAGCTTGGCTGTTGATCTGTCTTACGTCAGATTATGGCTTGATCTTTTGTCACGAACACCTCGAGTGGCACCATTTCTTACAAAGAATGATCCCTTGGTTGCAGCACTGAAAAAGGTGCTTCACAAATACACCTTTGATTGTCTGTTTCGTTGGAACCAAATGCTATGAACTACTATGAGTAGTGCAACCAAAAAAAAAAAAAAAACAAAGCACATGTACATGCACATATATGAATCATCTCACATTTTGCACCACTGCTGTATTTGTAGTGTAGTTGCGGTAGCATCTTAGATTGGTAATCTTAAACCTTCAGTAACTGTCATTTACCCAGTTCTTCCACACCTGTTATTACCACTCATGCTACTGCTCCTCAGATTCCTTTTTATGATATAATACATTTCGTATGTTGTATACTATGGTCAACCAATTGTGAGCTGTGACCATTTAGTTTCTAGGGCATTGTGTTCCTTATTCTTTATTCTTCTATGAATGTTTCTGCATCCTGCACTGCTTAGGAGGTCAAATTCATGTTTGTTTCTTTTTGTGTGTGTGATTTGAACGTAAATAAATGGCTCTATCTTCTCTTTCCCAAGACAGAGTATGAACTTCCCTCGTTGCTAACTTTCGTGGGAATCATTATCTATTTCGTGGCAGGAATTGGCAGAGCATACTCATGAAGTAAATGTGCAGCATGAGTTGCTTGATGGGTTGTTCACATTCTATGATTCAACCAAAGCCAAGCTGAATATATATCAGGTCCATGTTACCATTTACCCCCCCCCCCCTCCCTCTCTCTCTCTCTCTCTCTCTCTCTCTCTCTCTCTCTCTCTCTCTCTCTCTCTCTCTCTCTCTCTCTCTCTCTCTCTCTCTAAGAATAATGTGATAACCTTGGTGCGATTTTCGCTCTTGCTGCCTACACCTATTCATTTATGACCTACAAGATTTCGGATTCATATTGGTGTACAAGTGGTTTCGTTTGTTTTATTGCTTTTTATGATATTTCTCGTTTCTGACATAATTTGCTCCACAATAGCATTGTGGAAGTGTACTTAACAGCTTACTAACACAGATGTTGCTACAGGTGGCTAGCGTTACATTTGATTTGCTATTGCTTCTAGCCGTGGGGTCGTACTTGATAGTTCTCTTCAGTTTCCTCGTCATCACAACCAGGGTACATGGACTAATCTATAATTTTCGATCATGATAATTGTGTTTCTAATTTTTGCTTACTCTTCTTCAATCACCCTATAAACCAACTGTAATCCAGACTTTCTGAGCCACATGCGGTATTTCTGAACAGGGTCTTGACGATCTTATCAGCATATTCAGACGACCTCCACCCCGGAAATCTAAAACAGGTTGATCAACTGCGACCCGACACTTGCGAGACTACGCTTTGCAGGTTGTCCACGCGTATGCTGAAATGCAGGAGTTTGCTGGATCTAGTTAGCAATCTGTTGTCTCTAGAGTTGAGAATTAGAGTTATGCCTTGTGATTTTCTCCAGCTGGGTACTGATGTGCTAGATAGAATTAGAATTTAGAAGTGTTCTGCAGTGGTCTGTGCTACAGAAAATTTTGCTAGAGATTATTATGCAGGGCGCTCACAACTTCTGTTTATTGGTGGAATACGTTAGTCTTACAGACAAGAGATGTAGTCAAAATTGGTAGCTGAAGTATTACCAGCTGAATGATTTGAGAAACATGTCCTTAAACTTCGCCAATGGATTTGTATCTGAAACCTTTCAAACGGCAGGACTTGAATATGAAGAAAAGTTCGATAAATCGGTTGTCTTTTGGCATCAGCCTTTTATAATTCACTCACGAACACAAACACGTTCCTGACTTGCTGGCTGGTAGTGAAATTGCCGACTTTGAAGTTCGAACACAACTCATGATTAAACATTTAAGTACCGAAAATGAGTGAGGGATGCTGCAATCACAGTACATTGAGCCGTCTCGATCAAAATCCCATTCACCCTAGAATGTCAAACCCTAATTTGGAGATATGGCGTCACCCATGTACAGAACTTGAAGGTTGCTTTACAGACCTGATTCGTCCCTAATCAGCCTTCTCCAACAAGAGGAAAGTTCAACTAGCAGTCAATCATTAAACATCTTCATGGATCAGCATCTGTTGACCAATATGCCGAACTTCATGAACTTGGCCAGTTGGTCACACTCCACATTGTCATCATTCTTGTTTATCTACAAAGACGACACGCCCATGCATTGGCTGCAAGCAATCATGTGGATTCTGAGTGTTTGTGACTAATGGAAACAAAGAGTAGCAAAAGTTTGTTACTACCTTCCCGTGTGTGCTTCTCAATGCCTTCTGGGCTTCATCCTCAGAGTCAAAGGTAACATACCCAAAACCTTTCGATTTCTTCTTATCTTTATCCTTGATTACTTCAGCTGCAAATACAGAAATCTATATCAATTGATAACAGTTCGAAAAGAAACCACTTTTTTCCAAGACTAAACACGTTGCCTACCTTTCACCACCTTGCCGAACTCAGAAAATGCATCAGCTAACATTTGATCCGTCATGGAGAAAGGGAGACCTAAAGCGAAGCCATTAGTTGTGCGAACAGAAAGCCAAGAGACCTCTTATTACTACATAAGGAGACCGCTGCCAATCTACAACTTAATCCTCAGAGAAGTAGAAGTACAATATGTCACAGAGATAGAAGACTTGGTCATCGTCAATTCTATGAGAAATGTAATCCTGCAAAGATCTTAACTTTTAATAAACAGGTGATTAGAAATAGACAAGGATTCTGAGTCAAGTAACATCAATATGCTTTGCATCGAGTTCATTCTGTATTTAGTCTAAGGCAAGTTGCGGACTACGACTGCCATTTCTAGAACTGCAGAGACACAAAACCAAAATACACCAACTAAAGAACCAGAGGATGACAAGTTGCACAAACTGGTTTCCACAAGCTGACTTCATTCAGTTGCTCACTTCCCACAGAATCACAATCCTTCATATCCACATCCAACAACCTCACTCTCAGCAGCGAAATACTCGTATACTTCCAAGCAAACTTACTACAGAAAGTAATGCAGGGATCTCTCAAACAGCATTCAGCAATACATTCTTCTCTATTTTCAAATACCATTTCTCAGCTTCACCATCTAGCTAAAAAGCCTAAACATCCATACTCAATCTGTTCTGCGGAAAATTGGGTTCGGATCAAAAGAGAGAGGAAAAGCCTCCTCTCCTAGCTACTCCTAAAAATCATCATAATATACGTTGCATAGCACTCTCTGTTTGGTAGGCAAGAAACAACTCCGTAAAAGAAAAGAGCAGTAACACAGAGAGGGTACCTCTGATGAAGAGCTTGGAAGAGAAATGCCTTGTGGAGAAGAAGAAGAAGAATTGGGAAGTTGCGGAAGAGTAATTAGGTTTCAAAGCCGGGAACATTCCTCTCATCGCCGCCTGCATTTTTGTGGGTCGTCCTAAGCAGAGAGCTATTCACTATTCCTTCAGTGACATAGATTTCCAGTCAGTCGGTGAGATCTCGCTACCGATCAACCATCCAAACAAAGGAAAGACTGAATTCGTGAAATATCCGCCACCTGCAACACCATCCTTTAGGGTTTAGATATGTCAGTAACTAACTAAATACTAACCTTTAGATTAATACCTTATTTTGGCTTGAACTATGACCATATAATCAACTTTGGCCCGTGGTTTCATAAATTAACATCCTGACCTCAACTATGTAACATATAGACTCAATTAGCCCGACACCTAGTTTGACCGTCAATTTGGATGGTCAACACCATTGACCGTTAGTCAACATGCCATGTCATTGCCTCGTCAGCCTAAAAATCATTAAAAAAATTAAAATTCAAACTATTTTTTTAATTTTTATTATTTATAAGACTAACTCCAATCCAAAAGGCTATATTTAGCATGGTAAAGGAAACCGTACCGGGCATCATATCGGATTCCTTTCTGGTAAGTATTTTTTGTGGTACGACCGTGGTTCAACCATTTCGTACCGGTAAACCGTTTTTGTAATAATAAAATATATTTTTTGTCAAAAAACCGTGCCGGCAAAATTAGGGTACCGTCTCGGAGTAGTACCTGATGTATCGGAATATACCAGACAATAAATACAACTAAATTAATAAAAACAAAAGAAAATTTAAACAATATTTACTTTTTATTAAAAAGAAATCCCATCATTTATTAACTTCCTCGGTTAAGGCGTGCACCTTTTCCCTTCCCCCATCTTCCATTCTGCCTCTCTCTCTCTCTCTCTCTCTCTCTCTCACACCCACCCACCCACTGCACTCAAAACCAAATCTCACCGCAAACCTTTTCCCTTCCCCCATCTTCCATTCTCTCTCTCTCTCCCACTGCGCTCAAAACCAAATCTCACCGCAAACCTTTTCCCTTCCCCCATCAAATTTCATCGCAAACCCAATCTCACCGCCACCCCCCGCGCTCAAAGCCAAATCAATGGCACTCCCTAATCGGAAAATCTCGTCTCTTCGCCGGTTGGAGAAGCGTAGCCTTGTGGGTCGCTAGTCGCCACTCTCTACTCGCCAGAGGAGAAGAGAAGAGGAGCGGTGGAGCGTTGCATGGATCGGCTAGATCTTTTGTCGGTCGCCTCGTTGATCTCTTTGATCGTGGGTCGTCAGTTGCCACTAGCCACAGGAGAAGAGAAGAGGAGCGGCTGGGCTGGGCGAGGCTGGAGAAGAGAACAGGAGCGCCTTGGGTTGGGAGAGGTTCAGAAAACTCGACTGCCATTCACTCATTTGATTAGAGATTAGGGTTTTGTTTTGGGCGTTTGTTGATTGGACGCAGGTTATCTTTTTTTTTTTTTTTTTGTTATGTAAAACGACAACGTTTTTTACTGGATATAGGCTACCGCCGGTTAGAACAAAATCGGGCGGTTTCTCGCTTTGTGCCGGTTAACCCGGAAAAATCGACCGACACGGTAAAAAGGCTCATAACAGCCTACCGTTTTGTTTTTTGTCCAATTCCCGGTTGAACCGGCCGGTGCGATCTGGTTTCCTGGTCCATGATATTTAGCCTCCCAAGCTCTCAAATGTACATTTTTGCCTCCCCAAAACACTTTTTTGCTCCAACCCTATAGGCTTCCAAGTTTAGCTTCCCGCATCTTTTTTTGATTTAATTTCCATAAACCATACTTATTTACAATATCATTCTTGTAATTCACTTTAATTTTTTACAGTTTGTTATTACTTTTGAAAACAAAATTTTCGATGTAATTTTTTTTTAATTCCGAGTTTTTTTTTGCAAAATTAGTCATTTTTTGTAGCCGTTACTTTATGACCATTTTTTTGTCGTGTTTGTGCATCATATGTGTTTATAAATTACAATTCTTCATTTTTCATCAACTCACCTGAAACTTCTTCCCATTTCTAAAACAAACACATTCATCATGAGTATGTCAGATAGCTCATCGTCGGGAGGAGAAGAAGAAATCGAAGAGTACGAGAGGTTTCACCACCTACGGTTGAGTTTAATCGGTCGGAGGCTGGCTGAAGGTTCATCAAGTCGACGTCAAACTACAAGTCGACGTCACATTGATTGTGAAAGGGTCGAATGTAATCGCCGTCTCATGAGAGATTACTTCGATCCAAATCCAGTATACAATGCTCGCATATTTAGAAGGCGCTATCGGATGAAACCAAGATTATTCCATCGCATTATGGGCGACATTGTGAGGTTTGACCCCTCATTTGCCGCCTTTTGTTTGTCGCGTCCTTCAGGGCGAGACAACACGAAAGGCGTAGCTCCCTCTTCTGGTATGTCGTCGAGGCCTTCCACAGGGGAGGATTTCGAAGGATGACCCAACAATGCTCATAAGCAAAGGCTTTGTCCCCATTCTCGTCCTTATATATCGCTCGTTTGACTCCTCTCCGCCCTCTGCAAAGCTCCCTTCCAAACTTTACACTTGTTGCTGATAAGTCTTAGTCGGGATTCCATTGAATCCGTAGTACGAATTGTTGTAGGATCGCTTCTTCGAAATTCCCTCTCCACCCTTTCCCATAATCACGTGCTCTTTCTATTGATGCCAACTGCTCCATCTTCAGATACTGATATCCAAGATTTGCACAAGTTTACATCTTCATGAGCTTTCCAATTGGGTCCTCTCTTACTTGACATGTTTTTGTTTTGAGAGATGATAAATAGATGAGAAAGAGAGAAATTGATTTGAGAATAAGTGCAGAAAAACCATGAGAAGTTACTCATTATATAGAAAAAAATATGACCGTTTTATGGCCGTTAAAATGTGTCTGTTGCAATGTGACCGTTTTATTGTCACTATATTACTCTTCTTTCAAACTAAAACGCAAACACACCCACAAAAATAACCACTCAAAAAAATTGAAAAGAAAAAAAAACAGTAACAGAAAAGTGGGGGGCCCGCGTGCAGGCGCCTCCGCGGCTGGCCTTCGCCTGCACGCGAGGTCCCCCACCTCTAGCTGCTATATTTGCCTCCTCCTCCACTTTAACTTCTATCTATCCACCCCCAAACCCACTTCTCCAAATTTGCAAGCCAAATAATTGGTGGGTTGGAGATGAAAAAAGCCAAAAACCTCCCTTTCTCCAAATTTGCATGCTTGGGTTGGAGACAGTCTAATCAAATTAACAAAAAATAATTTATAAAAAACATAAAATAAATTTATTTTTTTTATTTATTTTTTCTAATTTTAAAATGATAAATTTTATAAATTAACCAAAAATTATCAAATTATTTTATATATTTAAAATTACACAAAAATAAAATAAATACTTTATATCATATTTTTTGAAATTTATACAATTTAATTTGATAATTTTCGGTTAATTTATAAAATTTATCATTTTCAAATATCCAAAAAAATAAAATATAAGTTTTATTTTATATTTTTAAAATTTTATTTTTTGGTTAATTTGAAAATAATAAATAATAGAAATTAGGAAAACAATTTGATTTTGATTTTTTTAATAATTTTTAGACTGATGAGGCAATGACATGGCGTGTTGACTAACGGTCAACCGTGTTGACCATCCAAATTAACGGTCAAACCATGTGTCGGGCCAATTGAGTCTATATGCTGCATAGTTTAGGCCAGGATGTTAATTTCTTAAACCATGGGCCAAAGTTTATTATATGGTCATAGTTCGGGCCAAAATATGGTATTAACCCTAACCTTTATATATATAAGTGATTGAGAAAATTCAAATCTAAGAGCTGTCAATTAAAGACATTTTATTTTGGGTTTATATCCTAGTTTGGTCCGAAGTTTAGCGTAAGTGATATTTCTGGCCCATTTTTCAAATAAGACATTTATGGCCTACTTTTAAAACTATTGGACAAATTTGGCCCAAAATTTTCTTTGACCGTTAATATTAACGGTCAAACACTATTCCGTTAGTGACTCCAAAAAAACCCACTGATGTGGCATGCCACGTCATTAAAACATATTATTTTAATTTTATATTTAAATTAAAATAAAAATTAACAGATTAAAAAAATATGAACCCAAAATCCCCAAATTCAAACCCTAAATGGTTAATCGTGAATAGGAGGGAGGCGCCTCCTCCTTCTCCGACCAACAGCACTCTGCCGCCTCTCCCGTTACTTCTTCTTCTTTGACCAGACTTCTCGCCTCCGTCCGCTTTAGCTTCCTCCACCTTCCTCGCACTCTCCGAGCTGACAGGTACCGCAAGTGAAGCTGTTAGAATGGATCTATGCCCGATCGAAATCGGAGGAATACGAGAGTCCAAAGGCGCTATCTGCCAGAGAAATTATATATAAGTGAGTACATGAAAGCCATTATCAAGCGTTTAAGACAAATGACCGGAGAATCCACAAGAAGACGAACCGATCGAAAGAGAGGCGGACACTTGAGGATGGACGATGGCGGCACCAACGATAGCGAGTGAAACTTACAGAAGTGGTGGGAGTTGGCGCTGGAGGGAGAGAAGGGTAGATGAAGTTGATGCAGGCCTTGAGGTCGGGGTATTAGATTTGGGGGGGATAAGGATGGTTGTCGGTGAGAAGAGAATTAGATGGAGGAGGCGGGGGGATGTGAATAAGGATGGCGAGTCGGTACGTGACGGAGAATGGCCGCATCGGTAGTGGAGTGAAAGAGGTGGGTCGGAGAACTCAAGTAGTGGCGGAGGAGATTTGCGGTGGCGAACTCGTGATGGAAGGGGGAACTATCGGAGGAAGATGGAGGATCGGCAAAAGAATAGGGGTTTCTTTCATTGTTTTTTTTCTTCATGTTTTAATATTTAAATGACGTGGACGAGTGTAGTCAGCAACAAATGTTGAGTCATTGACGCAAAAAATGGATGACCGTCAATTATGACGGTCAAACCGTCTCTCGGGGCAAATCTGTCTAATAATTTCAAAAGTAGGCCGTAAACGTCTTATTTGAAAAATGAGGTCAGAACTGTCACTAACGCTAAACTTCGGGCCAAACTAGGGTATTAACCCTTTTATTTTCTTTAAATCGACTCTTATCTTCTTCGTTCTAACTCGGATTTCATTTTTTTTTCACATATGGAACGAGTTCGTTGTGCTCTACAAAATGAGATCAATTTTCAATATATTTCGAGAAACTTTTTTTTACCAACTAAATACCATATGGTAACTTTTTTGTTTTTAAGTCGTTCTTCAAAAACGTTTGCTCTGAAGGAACGAGTTTATCATGATATATTGGATCTATAAATTTCTGGGTGAAAAATTACTAGATAAAAAATTACCATACTTTACCACTACGGTATGTGGGTGGTGCCCCTTATACTATTTTTTACATCAAACATGCCCCTGTACTTTGTAAAAATGATCAAACATGCTCTTTTGTTTAAATTTTCATCCAAAAACCGTTAACCAATGTCGAAATTTGGTTTGGGCGGCACAAATGTCTAAAATATCCCTAATAATTTCACTTTATAATTTTTTTGTTCTTTTGTATAGCCAAATAATTCAAATAATTTCACTTTGAAGAGACCGAGAGAAATAAAACGGGAGACAAAACTGACATTTTTGCTCTCATTTACCGATGTCGGGTTGTCTAAATCTCGGTTCAACCATGATTGACGATTTTATTAATGGAATTCTTAACAGAATGGTATGTTTGATAATTTTTTCAAAGTAAAAAATAGTAGAGGGGTATGTTTGATAAAACGTCATAGTAGGGACATATTATACCTATAACCCTTTTCTTAATTGGATCTTATCTTCTTCCTTCTAACTCGGATTTCTCAATTTTTTTTGCACAGATGGAACGAGTTCGTTGTGCTCTACAAAATGAGATCAATTTTCAATATATTTCGAGAAACTTTTTTTTTACCACCTACATACCATATGGTAACTTTTTCGTTTTTCAGTCGTTTTCGAAAACGTTTGCTCTGAAGGAACGAGTTCATCATGATCTATTGGATCTATAAATTTCTGGGTGAAAAAATACTGAATAAAAAATTACCTTACTTTACCACTATGGTATGTGGGTGGTAACTTGTAGTAAACAATGATGAAAGTAGTAAATAACAGTAGTATACTCCTACTATCATGTATTCAACCCTCTTACCATATTGGTATGTTCATACCATCATGGTACGCTTTCTTACCATATGGTATTAACTATTAAATAGGAGCATACCATATGGTAATGACTGGTAAAAAATTATTCAATTTTTTTGTACTAGAAATATATCAAAGTGAATATCATTTTAAAGAGCACATTTAATCTAATTTATCTATGCAAAAAAATTAAATCTTGACTTAAAACAAGAGAGAAATCGTCCGTTAAAAATTAAAGGGGGAAAAGATAAAAGAATTTCCAGGAGAGAGATGATACTGATGTCATGCTGATAAGACAGGTTACTCATGGTTACTGACTATTGAGTTACTGACGTGAACCGTTCGCCGAAAATAACGCATAGGTTTGGAAAGTCGGAGAGAGCGGGTAAAGCTATGTCAGGCCTATCGGTTGTGAGGAATGGATCAATCCCCGAGAAGCCGCAACTGTAGCCCATTTGCTGGCCCACTGAGAGATCAACTGGGATACTACTGTAATTTGGGATTCTAGGCCCATACACCCTTATTTTTATTAGTTTTTCTTTTTTGTTTCTTGGATGCTGTATCCAAGGTCTAAGCTCATGCGCATAAGTTGTCATCGTCAACCATGAAAAAGTTAAACTGCTCACAGTAGGTTTTGTGAGTAGATACTCGCTGATCCATATATCCGCCGAGCCGAGAGGAGGGAGGCCGTGGGCAGTTTTTTGGGAGAGCCGAAATTTTGGGCGGGAAGTGGTCAGTTTTTTGGGCGGCCCGAAATTTTGGGCGGGAAGTTGGAGAAAGAAGGAACAATTCGGGTCTGGTGGCTTGCAGCTTAGTAAGGGCTGCCTGGCGAGGGCCCATGGGCCGAAGGCTGATAAAACAGTTATTTGGGCCCATTTTGCTTTGCTGATGAAATTTGGGCGGGATTTTGCTGAAGAAGGAATGGGGGGATATTTCTTGAACAATAAAGGGGAAGGTGGCATTAAATGATCTCAACCACCACTTTCACTCTCTAACCCCTCTCTCTCTCTCTCTCTCCTTTTTCTCCTTTAATTTTCTGCTCAACCACCGCTAGAGTCGCCGGTGATCGTCACTCCCGACGAGACTCTCCTTGCCGGCGATCATTAGTTCCGGCGAGTCTCTCCTTGCTGGCGAGCAGATCATTCTTAGAAAGGATGATTTTCGACGACGACAGCGAGTTGGACGGTGTGGCTGCTTTCATTGTAGAAGAAGAAGACCTCGATCCTACACTAGATGAATTTGTTGATGAAGACTCAGATGGTGTGGATGACCTCATTGTAGAAGAAGAAGAAGAAAGTGAAGGTGGATTCTATTATATATATGTTTGTGTTGTTGAGTTTTGTTGTGTGCATTGAATGTCATTTAATGGTGTTGATATTATTTTGGGTGTAACCTCCTGTTTCATTGGGTTTTTGGGTGTGGATATTATTTTGAGTTGTCATGGATACGTTGTAAAACTATCTAAGATATTTACCTGGGCATGTTGGATATTGTTATGGACGTGATGAAAGTGGTTGGATATTTTTTTGGGTTTTTGAGTATGGATATTCTTTCGAGCGTCATGGATACGTTTTAGGGATAGGTGAAATATTATTCTGGGTATATTGGATATTTTGGTGGACGCTACTGATACTTTTCTAGAACAAAAGGATAAGATGTATTTTAAGGTTGGATACTTGTCGAAGCCTAAGAATTCAGTCTGTTTATGGGTATGATTTAGACGTCTATTTGATACTATTGTGGGCATGTTGGATAATTGTCTGGGCAAGTTAAATGTGGATACTAACATGGCCTCATACAATTAAATCGCAGCTCATAAGACAACAGACCTAGAAGATGAGGAAACGAGGAAGAACATAATTTATCGGACTAAGGAAGAGTGTTTGGCTTTCTATAAACGCTATGCTCACGAAAAGGGTTTTGGTGTTTGAAATGCTGCTCAACACCAAAGAAAAATGAAGAATTCTAATGGAGAGGCGGAGAAAATTTATTTCTACCTTTATTACTTTTGTAATAAGCAAGGTTGGACTTCCACTAGCGAAGTAGATGTGGAGAAACAAAAACAGTCCGAAGACAAAGTTGTGGAGAGAAAGCGTCCTAAAAGAAAGAGGCCTCGAGTTAGGGTTGGATGTAGTGCCCGTGTTCGTTTTCGATGGGATGAATCTAGAGACGGATATGTGGTGTATGAATTCGAGGGAGCCCACAATCATGATTTGCACTCCACCGAGAATACGCACCTTATCAAGTCCAACAAGTGCATGAGTGATGCTAAAAAAAGATGGTCGAAGCTAATCGCGATGCCGGGATGAGTCTTAGTGCACCGTATCAGTTATTGGCTGACTGTGCTGGTGGCTATCAAAATCTGAAATTTACCAAATTCGATCAGAAGAACCACTTGAACAGCAAAAGGCACAGGAAAATGGCTCGTGGCGAAGCGACTTATTTGCTTGACTACTTTGAGGACCAAAAGGAAAAGCATCCTGGCTTCTTTTATGCTGTAGAGGTAGATTGCGAGGAGAAAGTTGCTAATATTTTTTGGGCGGACAGTAGGATGCGTGAAGATTATGCTCTTTTTGGAGATTCGGTCTCCTTTGATACCACCTTCCGAACGAACAAATACTTCCGTCCACTAGGTACGCGAATCACTTAATTGCCTTGATTTTTTTCGATATTACATAAATGGTATTGAATACAATGTAGGGTGGTTCAAGAGTGGTCTCTTGTGATCCGGTAGACATGGCCTGACATGATATGTTTTTGTAAAAGGACTAATATTGGTATGGCATTATGAGATACTAGTCTGGGTTTTACAGATATTTGTTGAAATGTATTGGCATAATATCAATTCCTAATTCCCTTAAGTTTTTTCGACACTCGTTCAGTTATGCATTGTCAATTGTCATTAATAGTTGTCTTGTGCAGGGATGTTTGTAGGTTTCAATCATCATCGTCAAACTTGTGTGTTTGGTGCTTGTTTGATGTATGATGAGACTACACCGTCTTTTGAATGGTTGTTTTTAGCATTTAGTTGGTGCATGAAGAAGAAGCTCCGAGTCACTATTTTTACTGATCAGGACGCCGCCATGGCAGCTACCCTTAGAAAGGAGTGGCCTACTGTGTTTCATGCCCTCTGTACTTGGCACATCTTCATGAATGCGAAGAAGCATCTTCGTAAGGACAAGGCATTTTGAAAGAAGTTCCAAACTCATCTTTCTTATATTTTCTACGATATCGACAGTGAGGGAGAGTTCGACATGGCCTGGAGCACAATGGTTGCTGATTGTTTCCCTAATAGCAAAATTGCAGACGGTCACCCATGGTTGGAATATTTGAAGAAATTTCATCGTCGATGGTGTTCCTTATGGTTGAGAGATCAATTCACAGCCGAGATGTTGACTACGCAAGCCAGCGAGTCGTGCAATGCACAAGTGCGTCTTTTCTTGAAACCGAAGCATGATTTGGACTTGTTTTTCATTCACTTTAGCAGGTACGCAGAATATTTCTTTGCCTTTCTTTGATATTAGTCTACTTTAGTTTTGGATATTTGTCACTGTTGTCCGGATATTTATATGCTATTGTTAAATATTACTTTGTTTAGTTGGGATATTAGTATTGGTTTGAGTGGATATTAGTCTGGGCACTAAACTCTTTCTCGTGCTTTGTAAATGTAGTTTGTTGGCTGAAAAAAGACGCAAGGAGACTGAGTCAGACTACAATGGGAAACAATCGGTTCCTTATATTATGATGGAGGATAGCCCGTTCCTACAACATGCGGCAAAGGTCTTTACTCCTAACATCTTCAATCGGATACAAAATCAGTATTTGAAAACTGAACCCTATCTAATGGAGACACTCTCAGATACTAGGGATGATGGCATGATTGGCTACCTCACATATATGATAGAGGATGGTGAGCGTAGTGATGAGCGTGTCGTTCTCGTTGATATTTCTACGAGGATATTGGTATGCGAATGCAGGATGTTCAGAACTTTCGGAGTGTTATGCCGCCACACTATTAAAGTGATGCGGCATCTTGGAGATTTTGGGGAAGCCAATATGAGAAGTATTCCATATCATTATATACTCAAGCAATGGACGTTGGAGGCGAGAAAGAAATTGGTTGTTGTGTCGATGGTTTTGTTGGTCCTTCAGCTGACAGTGAGAATGATGCGGGAAAAGGTATAGCAATGCGGTACCGAGAAACCACTGCAATGTTGAATCAGCTAGCAACGAAATTGTCGATGGCCGAGGAGAAAGACTACAATAAGTGGATGGGAGTACTCAAGAAACTGTGCAATGAGGCAAACAAGGCATTATCAAAGACTATAACTAGCGAGGACAGTAAGTGTATTCACTAATACTATTTGCAAATTGTTGGAGTTTAATATCATTGCATTTACTAAATTATGTAACATTGTAGGACGGTCTATACCGATAACTGGGCTGACTTTGAAGGAGAAGAGTAATCCAAGGATCCACGGTAAGGAACGTTACCAGTCTAAGAATGAAAAGGAACGCCGTCGAAAGAAACGTGTTTATAGGAAGGGAATGAAATCAGATGAAGCGGTCACAAAGGACAACAATACTCAACCGGATGACCATCTCCATCTTAGTGATTTGGGTGATACTGACATGTGATTCCATGATACGTTTTTTTGATGCAGTGGATATTAATCCACTTGTAACATATACCTTTCTGCTCAATGGTAATGAATATAATGTAGGGTGGGTCGAGTGTGATCTATTGTGATATGATATTGACATGTGATTCCAGGATACGTTGCAGTGGATATTAATCCACTTGTAACATATACCTATCTGGGCAATCTGGATATTTATTAGCAGTGTGTTAGGATATTAGTCTTGTGTATTCCAAGTCTTAAATAGACAAATGCAAAAAAGGTCACATGAGTACAGTAACAAAAAGATCACATGAGTACAGTAACAAAAGAGGTCACATGTGAATAGTGAAAGAAGTAATCATTGATACTATTGTATTTGTTGCTGCTAATACTGATATCTAGAAAGCCCAGACTAATATATGTACATATTACAGTACATATCAAGTTTGCCCAGACAAGTATCCTTAACAAGTGGATTCATATCCACTGCACCACAAAAACGTATCCTGGAATCACAGGACAATATCTACCAAAATATCCTCCATCCTAATGCAAACCATCAACCATTCCTAAATATGAACCAACCCTAAGTTAAGTTTTATAAACTATCCAGCACACCTAAACAAATCTAAAATCAATTTCTCTTCTTTTTCCCTTTCTCTTTCTCTTTCTGCATACTTCAATCCTTTGCTCCTTGAATTATTGCATCCTTGTGGCCGTTATAGTTCCATTACAGGAGGTTAGCTGCAATCCGTGTTCGTTGTTCCTCCACATGTTGCTGCTTGGGCCAACTGTTTTTATATTGCACCGGAAGGTGACCCGCCCATAGCTCCATGTAAAGGCAAGCAAATACACCGCAATCATCGATGCCAAATTGCTGAGGAAAGTCAGCAATGCTGAATTCCCACTCATCCAATCTACAATCGACCCCCTGCTCTTTGAGGAACTCGGTCACATACTCAAAAATCACTTTCCCTACTGGTCCATGATCCTCTTTAGCCACTCGGGCATTGGGCTTTTGGCTGTCGAGTAGGAAAGTCTTCCTATTCTTCATGTCAGCGACGTACACTCGGTAGTGATCATCTCGATACATTGGAAAGAAGATCTGAAACACAATAAAGTTAGTGAGTTAATCATTGACTAATATCCTAACAACCCAGATTAATATCTCAACAACCCAGAATAATATCTGATAAATAAGAATAAAATATTCTATAAACCCAGACCAATATCAAGGAAAGTCAGAAAAATATCCAAACATTGAAGAAACTTACGTAATCACATCTTTCCAAGTTTTCCCGTTTCAGCAATGGATTACTCTTGTGCATAGAAATATGCGCCGAGACTCTCGCCTTGTCCGTGGGTTGTTTTTTTTATAGCATTGGCGACGACATGTTGCTATTTAGAAGAGACAACAATATCAAATTAGACATTTTCAACATAAATAGGATCTAAGTAGTGAAGATAATACTTACTACATAGGTCCATGGGAAGACAATTCTCTTCACCACCTCCTTACGTTCTTCTTGGTCATTTAGGAAGTGCCCGTATACTAAAATTACTTGGCTATGAATCCAACTTTTACGCTTCAATGACAATATTTGGCAACGACTAAGCTTGCCCTTTGGAGTTTCCATGATAAAGTCGTGATTGTAAAACACAAATGAAAAACTAGGTTAGTAGCCATGAATTTGACAAATTGAAATTGACGATTCAAGAAGGAAACATGACAACTTACTCATCTTTAGTTGTGGTACTGAAGATGAACTCAACCACTTGCAGTGGCGTAGCGTCGAGTTTCACAGACAGAGTCTTAGGCAAAACGTACACTGATGAGTCCAACGGGTGGTGTTTTGACCTCTCGAATGCAGGAGTTTTTAGAGTTGCCTTCCATGCTTCTGGTGTGATAGAGTGCATAAACTCTGCCTCCTCCTGAGTCATAGCCCTCTCACTTACGAGAATATCATCATCGCTATCCTCCATCATCCTCTAGCATGCTGCTGCTATAAGCTCCCCCTCTGATGTTGCTTCTTCTCCTTGCGTCAGAACCTCGGTAGAAGGATCGAACACAATAGCAATATCCTCGAAAGGTATCTGCAAAACAATGCCAAAGGTATGACCATCGTCCCAGGCTAGTAGAGTATCCACAGAATACGAAAAAAAATATCCAGGAAGAACAGAGTAATATCCAAAGAAAACGAAACAAATATCATGGCTGCCCAGGCTAGTATCCAAAGAAAAAGAAACAAAAATCCAGGAAGCCCAAGCTAGTATCCAAAGAATAAGAAACAAATATCCAGGAATAATAGACTAATATCCAAAGAAAACAAAACAAATACCCTGGGAGAACAGACTACTATCCAAAGAAAAAGAAACATATATCCAGGAATCCCAAGCTAGTATCCAAAGAATCAGAAACAAATATCTAGGAAGAATAGACACTACTGGTTTCCTCCAAAATTTACCGTAGTCGGGGATGTCTCTATACTCTCTTCAGCAGCAGCAGGGGTTTGGAGAGCAATCTGCATCACATTCACTTGACCAAAAATGGACTTCGTATGTTGAACCTCCGGATCAACAACAGGCACCTCCCGAACCTCCGGATCAACAACAGGCACCTCCACATTAGTACTCGACTTAACAACAAGCACCTCCACCTCATGCTCGACAATTGACTCTAGCTCCACCTCAGTAGCGACCTCAGCACTCGGCTTCACAACAGAGACCTCAACATCAACCTCGACAACTGGCTCTGACTCCTCCTCCACATCAGTAGTGAACTTAACAACAGGCAACTCCACCTCAGGCTCAACAACTGTATCTGGCTCCAGAACCACCTCAGGCTCGAGAACAGGCAGCACAGTCTTCTCACGTATTCTCCGAGAGTACACGCAGCTGGACATATTCTTGCCTTTCACGTATCCCTCCTTTTCCATTCTCACTTTGGTCACAGGAACCAATTTCGCCAATTTGCCCCTCTTCCTTTTCGTTTTGGTCGCTGAAAAAACACGTGCAAGCACATTAAATTAATATCCAAACTGCCAGAGTAATATCCAACCATGAAGCACCCCTTATCCAGACAGCACAGAGTAATATCTAAACATAAAGCAACGGTTATCCAACTAATACAGAGTAATATCCAGAAAAAGGCGCCTGTTATCCAGGTAGCACAGAGTAATATCCAAACATATAGCAACTGTTATCCAGACCACACAGAGTAATATCCCAAGAGACGCCTGTTATCCAGACAAGACAGAATAATATCCAAACATTGTGCAACTGTTATCTAGACAGAACAGAGTAATATTCAAACATTAAGCACTTGCTATCCACACAGGACATAGTAATATCCAACCCTGTAGTAGCTAATATCCAATGCATTCATTTCAATATCGGCGGCAAGCAAACTCGGATCTCATCATTCGATACAGAAAACAAACTTTTGTTCAAAGCAATCATGAAAAGAAATAGTAGCCAGAACCAACAATACATAAAAGTAACAGATCCTTAACAAGTAAACAAACTTTTGTTCAGCCATTCCAACATGGCAATTATAACATCCTAACAATAACATTACAACCACTTAAACATAAGAAAATTGCAAAGTTCATTTGTTTCCTTGATGGCGCATAATGACGACTCTCCAGATACTATCCCTCCTTGTTTCCCATACATCCATCATTTTTTTGGTCAATGACTCCAATGCCTTAAGCTACACATATATTGAAAAAAAAATTAGTTCGCTACATGCACCCATGTCTATTAACCCACGATTTTGAGATGCAAAGAGAAGATCTACATACCTCATCGTCCTCAAGGGTTTCCAAGTCAACATCCGCCCACCAATCAATAGCAGGAGCCGAGCTGCTCGACCCTGATTCCCAATCAGCTACCTTGGGGATATTCGAGCACACCTTATCCACCCTTGGGTCGAACCAATAGCTGCAGGTCGGGATGGTTTCTGTGGCAAACCCTCTCACATTAAGGAAGTCTAGCAAATGGATCTACAAAAAAGCGTTCAAAACAGATATAAGAAATGAAACGAACTACTATCCCAGGAATGGTTATTAATATCACAAGCAAACAAAAAAGATATCAGGAATGAAATGAACTATTATCCCTAGAATGTTAACTAATATCAACCATCAAATAAACAATATCAACAATTTTAAAGGAGAAGTTACCATTAAGAAGTGGATATCTCCAAGAGGCCATTGTTGTTTCCCACCCGCCCTAGATTCAGCTTCGTTTTCCTTAACCCGACACAACTCAAACTTCAGATTACGGGCAACAAAACCACTCCAATTAAAAGTGGCAATGTCCTCCACCCTTCCAACCATGTACTCTGCATAATCGAGATCACAAAGTCGTGACATCTTTGGGGCGAGCATCGAACCAAGAGCCAGCAACAAAAATTGCTTCACCGCGGCTGCAACAGGTGGTCTCCTTTTCGGTGCATCATCTGGACCACCACAGACTGCCTCTCTAAGATCCATAACTTCTACATTTCGACTACGAGTACACTCCATGTTGAGCTCCTCCTTGAAGTACCACCATCTCTGCATCCTCTATCTGTTCATCTTGCTTTGCTCCATTGTTGTCCGCTGTAACTACTATGTTTCCTGTAACATCTGTTTCCGGATCTGCCATTGAAAAGCAGAAGCTGAAGGTTATCTATCGATGCTTTCCTCTAGATCACTCCCTCACCCTAAGCCGCAGGAGGCGATCCTAGGTACAACAATTTTGCCGAGACCCCTTTTGTTGAACACCTAGGGAAACTCTCACTCACCACTCGTCAAAACCTGACGCAGGAGGCTGATCAAGTTACCACTCAATTGCTTTTCTCTCTCGCTGCTCAAGTTGCTTCAGAAAACCTCTACTGTAGCTCGCCGCCGTCAAGTGAGGGCTCTAAAACCATAGCACACAAAGAAAACCTAAAAGACTCCTATCTGAAACTCTCGCTAAACGAGATAATTTTTTTTGTCCTATTATGTCAATTTTATTGTCCCATTATGTAACATTAATTTTTAATGATATGATAATAAAATTTAACTTATATAAAATAATCACTTTTGGTAGCCTCCATCCAAAATGAGAACCAACCCAGCACCAATAACCGACTGACGCAACCATAAGACAAAGCTCTTGCGTGAGGGTTTTGCACCATAGTTTCATTGGATTTGTTTATTAATGTTTTTATGAGGTGGAATGTTGATTGAAAAATCTAACAGAAATTTGAATGGAGATTAAGAGAAGTGACCATTTTGTACAAGCTCAAACTTTTGATATCGTCGCGTTACAAGTTAAAAGTTCGTGACCGTTTTATACTAAATGCAAAGGTTTATAACTCTTTATGATAAGTACCCCGCATAACCTTTGGTTAGGGTTTTGCATTCGTGCATAACTAGATTTGATTCATTAATATTAACTTTTGAGTGGACTAAACTTTTTTTTGGGTGTAGAGTGGACTAAACTTAAAGAGTGAGATTAATAGATTTTTAGTTTTTATTTTTTTTAATGAGCTTGTATCTTCTTTTTTTAACCTAAATTTCAATTTATTTTGCACAAGATGAAACGTGTTCATTGTGATCTATCAAATTATGTACATTATTAATTTTCGAGATTTTATTTTCCTACCACACGTTATGTATATATGGATGATTCTATAGTACACCAAGTTGAAGTACCGCATTCATCAAGTAAGAAAATTATATCTAAATCTCAAATTGACCGAAGTTTGGGACATGAAACTCTAACCCTTAAAATTTAAAAATCAATGTCTTATTTGTATAAATATTTTACAATAAGACCAATTTAATTAGGAATAATAATCAACACTTGATTCATCGTAATGCATATAACAAACTACATGCACCATATTAAGGTTTAGGGTTTACGATTCAGATAATCATTATAACCTATGTTTCACTCATTAAGGATTGGAACATATTACCATGCCCCAAAATCATTTCAATTTTAGGTATGGATATCATTTTCTAACTTGGTGTATGGCTTACCTCCAATTTTTACCCGGTGTACAATAGAATGCACTATATATACACTCCAGTTTTGAGTATCATACTATACTCTAACCTCTCTATTGGATAAATCCCAAGCCTCAATTCTCTAAATTCAAACCCAAAATTCAATTTAAAAACCAAACATTAACCTGGTACAATTATTGGTATATAAAAATTTAAAACCAAACATTAACCTGCCCAATCATTTATTTATTTATATATAAAAAGAAAACCTGCCCAACCTCGTGGCATGTGAACACACACACATGACATGACCCGCTATCGGAACTCGTAAACGGTAAACGAGTAAAAAGACAAGGAGCAAGATGAGGGGCCAGCTGGCCGGTGTGGGCATATGCACCGATGACAGATTCACGATCAAGGACAGCTAAAGCTCCGGCCAGATATACTGTCTCCCTTCAAAATAATACCTTAAACCCTTGTTTCTGACTATCTTGATACCATTTTGATACATGAGATTATGCAGTACTATATAATTCCGGGATTCGGCAAAAAAAAAACTATATAATTCCGGTTTGGTATAATTATATAGCACAACTATTGTAAACATATGCAAAATCGAAATCGATTATACAAAAGAGTAAAGAACACATATTTACGTGGTTCACTAATACGACGTACGTGTATTAGCTACGTACATGGACAAGATAGAGAGCAGTTTCACTATACTTGATAAGATACAAGTTATAGAGATTCATAATGCATATACATAGCACATTCTCCATACAGTCTAAACCTAATCCAACGTATATAGAAACGAGCAATCTCAAAAGACCAACCATAAAAATTAATTTGTAATTCCAAACCTCAATTTTCAGATAAACTTTAGACTAATTATGATATAGAGGTATACTTATTATTTGTGACATAAGTGGTAGTTGGTTCAAATGTAGTATTTATTTCATTATGTAGTCAAAATCGAATACTGTGTGCATTTATGACTGCTTTTTTTATATTGGTGTTGTGAATAGGTAGAAACTTAATTATCAGAATGCATATAACTATCCCTAGACACATGGTCGAGCTAGCACGACACAGTTAGCGCATACCATGAAGACAATATATGTGGATTGGTCCTGTACAAACATGAATGTTTCATGGGTTGTACTAGACATAAACTTCAAGGGCTCAAGTACAAGTGCGAACACCACACAATCTATATTGGTGAACTCATGTTTTATGGAGAAATATGTCATTTTATAATAATAAAATATTCTAAAAATAACATATAAAATTTGAATTAATGAGCAGTTTTTAACATCAATGTGTGACGTGCTCATATTTAAAAGGTTTATATAATATATTCATTGTTTATTTTGAGACTCAAACCTTTTCCAATTTATGCAACTAAACACTTCATATATAAAATCGTTCTTGATTAACTTCATAGCAAAAAAATCTTTTGTACCGCTTGCAGTAATAACAAACAACGTCAACAATAATTTTAGAAGCAAGTAAAGTGAATAAGAAATTGAGATTTAGTATCTCTTTGCAAATGTGTGTGTTTGTGTGGGGGGAGATTGTTTTTGGTCTAAAATATTTGAGGAAAGGGTTGAAATTTCATATATCATTTTTTCGAATATTGCATATTGAATATGAGTATTGAACATTGGGAAGCGACATATAATTCTTAAATTAGTATTAATTTTCAGTTTGGTTGACATATAGCCTTAGACCTCTTGCTAAACTGATATTATTGGATCCAATAATCATAAGATGAGATTTAGTTTGATATGTTGGTTCAAACCATTTTTTTATGTGTAATGAATTTGTACAACAAATACATGTAAATAAGTGAAGATGAACTAACTATACGCTCACTCAATTGATTTAACGAGTGTTGTTTTTATCACTTTTAGTAATTAGTTTATCCACAATCTATCAAACTACTTTGCTCCGTCGAGGAATAAGCGGCCATATGTTCCCCAGGTTTCACGTGCTTTGATTCACACTATCGACTGAGAATAAAGAATAAGCATTTCGAACGCAAAATTGGAGAAGTAATTGAGATGTTTCTAGGTTTCTCTCGATTCTAGGCGGTGGGAAGAAAGAGGAAGGGAATGGGGAGAGTGTTGAGATTCAAGCTCAGAGGGTAAGAAAGAGGAAGGCAAAGAGAGAGTGAGAACACATTTAAAAGAGGGGGAAAATTATGTAGTGTGATATAATTGTCTTTCTCCTTTGCTTAGAGGGTATTGTTAGCCCTCATCGGCTCTTCTGTTGAGTTTTGATTTATTTTAGGGGATGATATTTGACATATTTTTTCCATTTCAATAAAAAAATCCAAAATCAATAATATCATTTGAATGCTCTCTATTGGAAAAAAACTTAAAGGATATACTAAACTTTATGAGATATATTTTCTTTCATCCTAAAAGTTGATTATGTATGTATCATGAGAAGCAACTCTAATATTCAACTATATTGTTTAATTAAATAATAAATGACAATTAGTTATATTTATTTCTTTTTCATTAAGTCATTATATGTAGTGCTTATATAATTTTCCCCCTATTTTCATGTATGTCTAAACACTTTATGCATAGTTGGATAATTTTCAAAGATGTTATGTGCATAACTAAGGTACAAAACAATCATTTCATGCATTTTAAATCATGTATTATATCCATTATTTTTTATTTTATTTTATAAACAACCTGTATTATTTCATTTATAACGAAATAGTACAGGAATCAGATTCAAGTTGTGATAAAATAAAATAAGGGGGTTGACCGACCCAAGATTCGGTTTCACCCCAACCACAAATGCTATGAGCCAAAATATGGGCAACCTGGTTACTGGTCCGACCCGAGAAATGGACCGAGATCGAGCCAACCCTATCTATCATTTCCTTGATCTCATCGACCAGATCTCCTTCCTCCACCAGCGATCTTTCTTCTCTCCTTAGCAGGTGGATCGCCGTCTGGCAATCTGACTCGATCATTCCCGGTAGAAGATGATGTTGCTCCGCTATTTCCAGGCCGAAAGCAATAGCTTGTAGCTCGGCGAACTCGGGAGTCCAGGAGTCCCGAACCCTCCTCACGGCAGCAAAGCAGAACAAACCTTGCCGATTGCGAATCACCATTCCCAGACCCGATCCTCCTCCCTCCAAACAGGCCGCGTCCACATTGATCTTGAAATCGGTGGTTTCTGGGGGCCTCCATCGGTGAACTCTCTGCATCGAAAGGACCATCCTCTCCTCCTGATGTTCCAGGTACTCCTCCAGCCATCTGCTCGCTTTTCCCAAAATTTCGCCTTCTTCAAGCTTCGTTTTGTTCCAGAGCTGACTGTTCCTCTCCTCCCATATGAACCACAGCGCTACGAGGAATTTCCCAATCTCCGCATCATTTTCCTCCTTCTGAAGTCGCACCATCCAATTTTCGCAGGTAAAATCCTCTCCCTTCTCGAACATAGTACTTAGGGGACTAGGACGCCAAACTCTTCGAACCCACCCGCAGTCTAGGAAAATATGGTGTTGAGTTTCCCTTTGGCCGCAAAAAGGGCATTCATCACATCCTCTCATAATCCTGTCCACCACATTTGCCCTTGTAGGGAGAATATTTCTAATCCATTTCCACCCAAACACCTTGACTTTGGGTGATACTCTTAATCCCCAGTATCGATCCCAATCAATGGGTGTGTAAAGTTCTCCCACAGTCTCTTCCTCCCTGTTTCTCCAAAAATGGTAGGCTGTTTTCACAGTATAAGCACCCCTTTTTTCCAATCTCCACACTAAGCGATCTTCACATGGTTGTCTTGGTATGGGGATTTTAAGAATATGCAACATATCTTGATGGCTAAAGTGTGTGTGTAGTAAATCCTGATTCCAACTGCGAGTATTCACATCTAGGAGTTCACTTACCGAAGTAGTTTCCCCTATCAAAGTCACTGGGGAGCTTACTTTGAGATTTTCAGCTGAGGGAACCCACCTATCTTGCCAGATATCCACTTTTCGACCATCTCCTATCCTCCACCTCACCCCTTCCTTCACAACTCGCTGGGCTGCCAGCAGACTCCTCCAGACATAGCTCGGGTTATACCCCAATTCTGCTTCTAGGATAGGTCTAGAAGGGTAGTATTTTGATTTCATAACTCTAGCCACCAAGGAATTTGGTTTCTGAAGCAAGTTCCAAAACTGTTTCCCTAACAAAGCTAGGTTGAACTCATGAAGACTTCGAAACCCCATTCCACCTTTAGCTTTCCTAGTGCATAGTTTATCTCAGCTTATCCAATGTGTCCTGAACTCACTATTCTTCTGTCCCCACCAAAAATTGGATAGTAGGCTCTGTATTTCATGAATTACATTAAGTGGGACAAGAAACACCTACATAGCATAAGTTGCCTGAGCTTGGGCAACAGCCTTGATCAGAACTTCCTTTCCTCCATACGACAGTAAATTGCTCTTCTAGAGTTTGACCTTCTTCCTTACTCGATCCACTAGGTAGCTAAACAAAACCTTCTTCTGACGTCCAATAACAGTAGGCAAACCTAGGTATTTGGAGTGTTGATCTACCACCCTCATTCCTAGGAGTTGTCCCAGCTCATCCCTGACTTCTTGCCTGACATTTGGGCTAAAAGCAATCTCTGACTTCGTTAGATTGACCTTCTGTCCCGTCTCCTGCTCATAAGCGGCGAGTAGGCCTCTTAAGTTTTCACACTCCTGTCTGTTTGCTTTAGTAAACAGCACACTATCATCTGCAAACAGCAGGTGTATGATAGCTGGAGCACCCCCTTATACCTTCAACCTTCTTTTCCCTTTCTGCCTTCTGAATCAAACATGAAAGCCCCTCAGCAATGAATAAGAACAGATAGGGGGAAATTGGATCACCTTGTCGTAGTCCTCGTGTAGGGTAGAAAGTTTCAGTCTGGTGACCATTCACAAGGAGAGAGTAGGACACTGTTGTAACACATCTCATTATTAGAGCAATCCATCTTTCCGCAAACCCTAACTTCCTCATAATCTCTTCTAGGAACTGCCATTCCACCCTGTCATAGGCTTTTGCAATGTCCAACTTTGCTGACATAAAACCCTTTTTCCCTTTAGTTCTTCCTCTCATAGAGTGAAAACATTCAAAAGCTACCATCACGTTATCTGTGATTAATCTGCCTGGAACAAAGGCACTCTGGAATTCTGAGATAATATCATTTAATAAGCTCTTAAGTCTATTGGCCAGTACCTTCGAGTAGATCT